GCTTCCCATTCACGTCAAGAGAGAATAATGTTTACTGTGTAACAGACTTCACCCGAGCTATGCTACTTTAAAGTCTACCTCATCATCCCACCTAAACCCGCCGAGCCCTCCTCCACCTCCCTCTTTCCTTTCCCAACCTCAAACCACACCCGAGTGAAAATCCATATAACAGCAGAAATTGCAGGGAAAAATGCCTTTGAGCCATACTGATTAAAAGACCCAACAGCCCAATTTCAAAGAGAATGTAAACAATGTTATGAGCACACTGCCTGCAGTGACTCACCCCAAACTGTTATTACATCTACCTTATGAAGCTGTGCAGCGTTTCATCTTTATGCGGTTTTCAGCAATGAGATAAGCCTGAGATCGCTGAGGTAAGCTAAGTGGCCTTAAAAGCATCCCTAAGCGGTTAATAAGTATGTACTAATGACCCCCAAACACATCTTATCAACATGAAAAAGCCTGATAAAGCTGTAAGATATCCAAAGGGTGAAATGTGTTTTTTTCTCTGCAGCTGTCAGAAAAATGAGAGTAGGTTTTCAGGATGGCTGCAACAGGCAGGTATTGAGCTAGCTGCTTAACAAAACACATCAGTCCTCTAATCTTCTTGTCACTTCGCCGGTAGCCCTAATTAGCAAATGCTAGCATGCTAAACTAAAATGGTGAATATAGTCAACGTTACACCTGCAAAGTATTGTAAAGCATGTTAGCATGCCGACCTTAGTGAGTAGCGTGTAAATGCCATTGAAGAATTCTGTCCATTCAGTCCACGCCGACTCTTTCTGTCTGTCAGCACAGCATCCAATCAGACTGTCTTGACAGAAAAGAAAGAAAGAAATCAGCATTGTTTTTATTACTTAATTCACTGATTTTTATTTCCCACTGTGGACTGACACATAAAGAGGTACCTGTTCCCTGAGTTGGGCAAATGATGGATTGGCCTTTGTTCTGTATTAAATCAAGACCTTGATCTTTCCCGAACTTTAACCAAGTGCTGTGAATGTCTTAACATAACCATAAAACATTTTAATACTGCTGTAATTGCTAGGAGTGATTGTTGAAGGAAAACAAATCAAATATGTTATACATATACTTTCCATATCAACATCCTCTCATTGGGCAAGTAAAAAGAGTAATCCCGGTGGAATAAGGTGTTCCACAAAGCATATTTACTGACAAAGGTAATTTCTAGGAGACGGGGTTGTTCTTGTCAAGAGTTAGATAATATTATTGATACCACTCTCGTGTTTGTACAGTAAATATTGAACTACAGCCAGTTAGCCTAGCTTAGCACAAAGACTGACAACAAAGCTGCAGCTTAATATTTACTGTACAGACAGGACAGTGGTATCAATCTTCTCCTTCAGAAAGAAAGCGAATGAGAAAATTTCCTAAAATGTTGAACTGCCCCTTTTTAAGTTTAACTCTGTTCCCTTTAAAGGTCTGTGGAGTTTTCCCCAAATCAGTCAAGAGGAAAGCAGCCAAGGTCAGTCACGTATTTGTTGCTCCCCAGTGCTCCATTAATTACAGCGCTTTTCCAAATGTCCTCATCTGATGGGAAATCACTTCAGGTGATGTTCAAGCAGTAAATTAGCTTGTGGCTGCAAAGCAACCCAATCAGCAGGGTATCTTTCGTGCGATAGCCACAAATTTTAAGGATGGGGTCAGCGGGATAGTCCAGGGAGGAGGCTCAAGTAATGACACAAGTGAGAGACAAAGGCACAGGCAAAAAGTGAAAGAGAAAGAAGAGAGGAGCCATTGTGTATCCGAGGAGACCTCCTCAGACTTAATTACCTCTCATCCATTTTCATTCAGCCTTCTCACGATAACGCAGGGGGAAGGGCACATGCTGTGGAGGATAAACAGAGGACTAATGAAGTCATGCATAATTGAAATGAAATAAAAAAACTTACTTAAAAATATTATAAGAGCTACGACAGGTTAAATGGAGGCTCTGATAAGGGAGGGATTTGAAAATGTGTGATTTGAGCCTTGCGTGACTCTCTCTATTCAGCAGATGCCATTTCTTTCCTCAGTAGGTTATCTCTTGAGTCTGCCTTTTGGTTCAGATAAGCAGGATCAGCTGCAGGGCTTTTGAAAGGACAGTAAACTTTCTTTAAAGCAGGCGGCACTTTACCTTTACAAATTACCTCCAGTTTGAAACACATTTGATGTTGTGAGAAATATGTAGAAATAGGAGGTAGCGTCAAAGACTGACAAGACATTTCAGCTCTGAAATTTAAAGTTAAAGAAGTTAACTTTTCCATAAGAATATTTTTGCTTTAATTTCCTTTTCAAGACATTTGACAGCAACACACTGGCCTCTGACACAGTCCCCTTGCCTGAGGCGGATTGGTCCTCAGCTGCCTGCCTGAATGCTGATGCAACTCAGAGGTCAGACTGAGCACAGCCCAGTGGATGGCTCTCTCATTTTGAAAACATCCCTGACATGATCACAGTGTCTGTGCTTGTGTGTCTGGAATGGTTTAAACCAGCTCCACCCTGCATAGTATGAATATTTTTTTTATGGGTGGGCGAAAGCTTAGGAGCTCACAGGGCTTCTTCAACTTTGTATCAACCTACCTGCACCTCCACCCTGCTGATGAAATCCTCAGAAATCCACAGGGAAAAGGTTGGATCTGTATGATCTTTTTTGTACACAATCTAATGACAAATATGTAGTATTTTCTTTCTGCGTTCTTTATTATTCTTATTGTCAACAAATCCTAGGAAAAGACCAAAATCAAAGATGAATTGGTCTTGCTTGTGTATTGTGCAAGAACAGAGTGTAGGGCCACAAATCTGAGATTTTGAGTCTTAATGTCAGAATATAACATTCATAACATTTTGAGTATAAAGTGGTAATTTACAAGAAAAACGCGAAAATAATGTTATAGTAATATATAAATAATATGTCTGGGCTGTCTCATCCACTGTATTACAATAACAATTAAAAATATTTTGACTTTATTTGCTGAATCTTATTTTTCTGGACAGTGGCCCTAAGATACTCGTAGCAAAAGCCTGAAAGCTATAGCTTGTTGTTGGTGCCATTGTTGTCTTAAGAGTACTAAAAACACATCTATGTTCCTTCTTTAGCATTTAAACAAGCACTGTAATACATGTTTGGTTCAATCCCTTATTCACTGTCCTGAAGCTGGAAATACCTATTAGAGCACCAATTATGTATTAATCCACTGTCGAAAATAGTCCCCAACAAATTCATTACATTCCCCCTGTTTCATTAATGTTTGCTAAAACCTACAATGCCGACCATGGGAAGTATTTCTTTTTAGAAAAATCTATTTTTAAAGATTTACTTCAGGGGGTAACCAATGGGCTTGGTGCTGAGTGCCATAGACAGAGGCATTATGTATTGAGAGATGGACCAACACATTGTTGGAATTGGTCTTTTCATGGGATTTGTTGACAGTAAGAAAAACATTTAACAACATATTCATCCTTCAAGACTTGTTCTTGAAAACATTATTGTTCAGGGATACCATTAATGTTCTCCACATTCAAAGTTGTTAAATAAAATACTAAAAACACAAAAAATGTATTGTTTAATATTTTGTAATTTATCTTATTATACATAGCAATTCATGTTTGGCCCTACTTTTTCCTGTATCTTTATACTTCTTCTAAATCTAGACATAAATAACTGTGACTAGATATCTGCTGACACTGCTGTGGTTTAGTGTAAGGACATATAAAACTGAAATTTATTGTAAAACATCTCAGTCTCTATGTGTACGTGTGTGCGTGCGTGCATGCGTGCGTGCGTGCTTGCATTACTGAGTCGCGGCAAATGCCTATGTTGCCAGGCGACAGTGACATGTAGGTACATTGTTTTTATCACACTCGGCCACACATACAGACTGCCCACACAAAATACTAGACTTTAGTCCATTCAGCCAAGCTCTGCATAAGCTAACAGCACCCAAAGGATTCACAGTGTTGAAGGGTTGAGCCATCAGTGGTATGTTCTGGATCGGGGGGGTAATAAGACTCACTTCCTGGTGGACAGGAAATTCAACTTCCTGTCTTGATTAATGGGGGGACTGTTGGATCACACAGGGGGCACTGAGGGGCCTCCCACACACAGACCTCCTACCTTTCACCTTGAATATCAATCCTTTTTTCTTTGCTTTTTCTCAGCCAGAGAAAGCTTGAGAACTCCTTAAATATCTTGAAATAGTGTAGATAAGATTTTAACAACTCATTCCAACTTGTCAGCACATATTGTGAAAGAAACAATGCTTTATTTCTCAAGCTACCCCCTTCCCCCATTTTGTTTGTGAATGCATGAGGGTCAGGATCCAGAAAAACTGGTGTTTCTCAACCTCTGTCACCGGTCAGGGGTTGTGTCAGGGCGAAGAATGTAAATAGTGAACAGAGCTGGACTCTTCAGAGCTGGAGGAATGCAGCAGAGAGGCAGTGTTCTCTGCAGTCACTCACTAATGGGATGTTAGACTTGTTACAAACCAGGGAATGTCAACTGCCACAACTAGCGAGCCGCTTTGCAATGCATTTCACTGATGAAAAGTGTGAGAGGAAGGGAGAGGGGAGGCAGACCAGGGAGGGAGGGAGGAGGGGAATAGAGAGAGGTGTTTTTTAAGATTTCATGTTCTCCTCCAGCCCCCACAGTTTGCAGATAAAGGTTGCCGTTGCCAAGGTGACTTGACAGAGAAAGGGAAAGTATCTGGCTGTGTTTCGCCTGTTCTTGTGCAGGAAGCTTAGAAGCCAGAGGCATAGATAAGATGATTCCAGTCCCTCCTCCACAGAACAAAAGCTGTACGCATGATATACTGCCTTAAATACCTCAGGACACTTTGGCTGCTGCATTCACTCCAAAGCTGCCTAAATATGCCAAACATGCAGTAATGAGAAAGCACCCTATGCTGTGCCGAAGCTGCTTTTCTCTTCTAAATCTACACTATTATATTAATACATGTAGCCAGACAAATTATCTCCACACTGAAGACAAAGACACAATGTTTTACAGTCAAGAGGAAAAAACTCTTATGTTTATTAGCCATGAATTTCACATTGTGAAAAAAATCACATGTACAAAATAATGCCATAAAAAATAGAAATAAACTCTTACATGACAAAAGAAATGAAACTGATGCACACTGACAGTGGGGGGGGGGTTCTGTCTAATTTACAACATTATGCGAAGCAAGATACTGTGCTCCAATCTGAGCCAGCTGGATTTCCAGATAAAATAGGGGGATAAGAGGAGGGCAAGAGTAGAAATGGGAAATGCCACTCAGCAATTAGGAGCAAATTGAAGGGGGCATTCATTACTTGCTGTTGCCAGGGAAACTTGGGTTCTCTGGGAAAGAAACGCTCTTATCAGATTGGTGGGGCCAGAGCCTCTGTGTTCAGTGGTCGGAGGAGGTCAACATTACAGAGCCACAAGGGTCTCCATAGAAGTCTTGAAATTGCCAATAAAAGGATGGACTTTTGGGTGGCTTAAGGAGCTGAGCAGGAATTTACAGAGCGGTTTACCAATTGATCCCCACAGATTTGATTTGTTTCATGAATCCACAAGAAATGACAACTGAAAAAAATATATACATATCCCACCAAAACATTACCTCTTACATTGAAATTCAATGATTCCATTAATATTCAATTGCAAAACGTCAATGCTCAGGTCACCTAGACAGACATAGAGACAAAAACACTGATTAGAGTTACCAAGTATGTCATATGCTGCGTTTAAGACATTCTCTCTTTTTGGTCTTTAGGAGCTTGCTTGTTTTTTTCTTTTTTTATGTGCATCATTGACACTATGGTAAAAAGCACTGCGGTGTCTGCCCTTATCAATGCACAGCTTACTGGAGTCAACTCTTTCTCAACCTAATGGTGAAGAAGACTGTGGGTTAACGCCCCGAGGAGCCAAGTTAGCACATGTGACAGTCCTCCAGCTGTCCCAAGGACAGCTGCAAAGACGGTCGCATTCTTAACCATGTCAGGGGTTATTCCGTGACGTCCCTGATAGTTACTGGGTCACATACTGCATCATTCCAATAGCCTTATCTGTTTTGTGGTTTGTATCTTCTTGTTTTGTTGGTACAGTTTGAGCCCTGACATGGTGATTTAAGACAGGTTTGGATCCAGGTTAGAGCTTAAAGAGAATCTATCAGAAGTAAAAATTAATATTTCCTTCAACCCCATTCAGTCTTCTTTTTTGGACAACGACTCTGTGGTCTAAACTGCTTCACACCATCAGTAATCCAAGCCATTCTTCCTCTTCCATTCATACACTGATATAAATGAAAAGCCTGGGAGATCTGCACCTCTGTCTCTTTTAAAAGAACAAGCTCCTCCTGGGAAAGACTGAACTGTGCAAAATGCAGCCCAACTAAATTCAAATAATACACAACACCTGGCCATGCATGACATAACCCAAACATACATTCACATCAGAATGCAGGCAGAGAAGAAATAAATAGGATTAAACATATTAACATAACAGAGTAATCATTGTCATATAAATTAAGACTACATTGCAGCAAGTTTTAAAAAAAAACAACTGATTAATTCTCAGTTTAGGTTAAGGTGACAAGATTTCTGTGACCACAGAGAAGAGTTCATGCCAGTTTTACTGAATCACTATAAGTGGACGTGCTCTAAAAAGGGTTCAGCTATGACTCAGCAAGCGAGCTTTACTTTTATCAGAATAACAGAAGCACAGCCGGTCTTTTACAGCATTAAGTGTACAGCTGAATGCGACAGCGTTGAATCCAAACACTGAATACCGCCCCTGTGTGCAGTTGGTTAGTTAACCGGCGCTCAGCGGGCGTTAATGCGTAGCTGCAAAACAGCAAACATGTAAGGTCGTGACCTCGAGGCACCTCGACACCCACTGGCCATGCACAGATCCCCTCTATCCTCCTCAACCTCAGCTGGTGTTGCTCATCAACACCTCGTGGCTTGCAGTGACAGCAAACTGCCAAAGCCTTCATAAGAGGAACACTCAAAGGTTTGTTTCTGTGTCCGAGCTGTTAGACGCATGTCTTTGAAAGAATAAGGGAAAAAAAGATACAAGGGGTCAAACAAAAGAGCTTATTAGAGGAGAGAGGGGGGAGGTTTGCTCCTTCATTGTGCCTTTTATAAATCAGCTATACTCAGTTAAACTGAGTTGCGTTCTGTTCTTTAGCACACCAATCACTGCATTCTCCCTCCCTCAATCTAAATAGAACATCCATCATGCTATACATTGCAGTTTCATGAAAAGAGCATTTTTTTTCTTATTATTATTTATCACAGAGAAAAACATCAATACAGATCCTCACAAGCCTGTCATGACTAAATGAGAAAAATGCAGGTTGTGTGATATGTTTGCATTCCTCATATGGCAGCATGAAAGCACTGAAATGCCAGATGTACACAAGGTTGGAGTTTGTGCCTCATATAACATGCAGCAGTTTGTTTGGTTTGTTTGCGATTGTACTGCATGTCTCAGCTTCCTTCTCAGAAAAGAGATGACATAATTCCAGTAAAGTGTCCAGCTGTATGTGGTTCTGGATCTGCCTCTTTGCAACATCAAGATGAATGCGGGTGTCTGTACATCACTGGTCGGTGTCTCTTTTTAGAGGAAGATGATGTGTGCTTCTTCACAGCTGGAGTCCAGTAGATGATGCAAAACAGGGATATCTGAGGAGGAAGAATAGAATAACTCGTTAAACAGGCTAATAAGATGTGTGAAGATGCCTGAAAGCAAGGAACACTCAACAGTTTAAAGGTGACTTTTTAATTATTCAAAGTACAAAGGAAGCTTCAAAACAGAGAATGATAAAAACAAGGCTCATGCATAAAGCTCTTGGATGACCTCACAACCTTGAAGAATCTTTTGTTCCTGCGATGTTTTTGTCTCTTTAAAGAGTTGGGGTTGGACAGAGGGGATATGAAATAAAATAAATACCTGTACAATGTAATACAATGCAATGCAACAGCGCTGTGATTCTATCAGAGTGCCGATAGAAGATTTAACACTCTTGAAGCTCTTATTTGCCGTAATGTTGACTTGGACTGCATTTTATTTACTCCCTGTGATCTAATACAACACCAGCACAGCCTGCAGCCTCAGTAATCACCATAGAAATAAACTTACACCTCTCTGACACAGTCTGAACAAGAAAAGCTACACTATTACATTACATTGTAAAAGTATTGCTGATATAGCCACTCTGTATTTCCTGCTAGACTGATAGATTTGGTAAATCCACCCACTCTGTTTCCTTAGTACAGTCTGGCCTTCGTCAAGCTTCTTCTCTCCCCCTCAGCCTACTACACTTTTCACATCTGAGTGTGTTTTACTCTCAGAATTTCACTTTGACCTTTCCATTTTTAAAGCTATTACTTAATATCTACTTAGGCCTATCTGTGCAGCACAGATGGTTACAGCCTTGGCAGCCCTCTATGTGTATAATGTGAATGTAATATCATCAGCTATCTCTGTTGGTGGAGGTGGGTCTTTCCCTTGCTGCTGAGTGAATAAGAACACCCTGAAGATCACATTCTACCCCATAGAAATGTGGCTGGGAGAAAAATTTCTTGTTGCTGATGAAGCCTCAATCTGCCTTAAGGTTACATTGATCATCTCTTGTTAATTCACTTGAAATCCAGAAAACTTGCTAAGCACTGGATTCTAGTTTGTTTCATGTCAGCATTTAGAGAAATACATTTATGAATTTATTAATCAAAGTAGTTTGAACAGCAGAGCGGGATACTGCTCACTTGTGCATTTTAACTACATGCTCTCACGCTTACCCAAAAATGAAAGAGGATTCTGGGATGCTTACTCTCTCGGAGAGTTAGTTTGATACCACTCTTATCGATCCATCAATTGGTTAAATTGCATAAAGGATTATGGTTATTTTGACCTTTTTTAACTTATATATTTGTTTGTCATCACATAAACATTTCTCTTAATATTTTGTGTGCCAAATCTAATATTTAAAACCAGTCAACCTGAAAACATGGCTACATTAGCAACATCGAGGAAGTCAGTCAAAAACAATGCTTTATTTGATTTTCTCAGTACAATTCGCCCCTACTAAAAGCTTTCCCAGGAAAGAAAACTAAAAAGGAGGAATCTCAGACAAGTTAGAATTGTTCCCCTGGGAAAAACTGAGAGAGAACTTCTTTTTTCTCTCACAGCTACAATCTCCTTCTGTGAGGTCTAACTTACTTCCTTCCCCTTTCATTCCTAAACAGTCAGCCTTCTTTTCCGTTCCTCCACATTTTGTCTTTTCACCAAGTTCAGTGACTGTCAGTTGCCATGACAGGCAGGCGCAGCAAAAACAAATTCTGTATTAAATTAGTGGCAGGATTATATCCTTCACTGAGCACTGTGTTGCATTGGCTTAGAGATAGTTAAAACCTTCAGTCTAGTCTCTCCTTTTCAGAGATGAGTCACTAAAAAGAAAGGGAATAATAAGTCTTAAAAAATATTTCATCCTGTGGAGAGGAAGAACATCACAGTGTCACAGCATGTGAAGCTGCTCTGAGCTGCTTCCTGGTATTATCAGATAGGAGACGGTGCTGCGCTGGACAGCTGGGGAGTCACTCTACTTCGTTCCTTCACTTTCTCAGGAGTTGAGGGCCCACAGCCATTTCAACAAATACAGCTAAATGAAAAGGACTGCCTTCATGGGTATGCGTGGGGGCATCAGTGTAGGGTGTAGGGATTGTGTGATCTGATGTGATTGTGAGCCTGCAGCATGCAGAAAGATCAGGTTTGCCAGCTGACTACCCATGCTCTACATACGTCTGGCCTGTTTATCATCAGACCAGGAGAGCAGGGTTAGATCGAGGCCAGGAAGACATAGATGGAAGCAGAAGAGACTGTCGAGTTCAACAGTAAATTTTCAGAGCAAGACCTCTACTATCAAGGATGATGTGTGTCTGACTGGGGTGAGGGGAGGGGAGTGCTGCCACTCTGTAGCCCTACAGTTCTCCCTATTCACTTCCCCTGCTGCCACTTCTCTCAGTCACCTCTACTTGTAACTGATGATGAATGGTTTCCGACACTGCGTGAGTCGCCGGCTGCCTCCCTCTCACCCAGCATTTAAGACCATAACCTCATCAAAGGAAGGCGACTGAGAGTGGATTAGCCTCGCCAGGGTGTTGTAGCCTGCTGGTGTGTGGTTGTCTAATTGGCAGACCCCCTTTTTCCTCTTAGAGGGATTTCCCCCACAGGAGCAATAAAAGTATCCTATTCTCTTTCAATTACCCTCTCTGTCCTTCGGCCCATCCCCACAGCCACATAACTCACTTAACTAACGCACACAAGCCCCTATCAATCCCCCCACAGGCCCACTCTCCCTCCTCTAAAGCTCCTAGAGCTCCTGCTTCTCTTCTTCTGAATCTTTTTCTTAATTCAAGTAAAGGAATCATTTTGTTGTATTTTCTTATACATTTTTAACTTTATCTGAAGTCATTTTATTTACTGTACTTATTTGATAATAATGTTTTTTAGTTCAACTCTAAAATGTGCTGCTTCAAGATGTATCTTTGTGAATCTCCGCCAGTTTTGAAGTATCACTGCCAAAATGATTGTTGATGTTTTTGTGTTTGTGTGAAAATGGAATATCAGCCAATTTATCATTCTGAAGTCTTTATATTGGTCTCCACCACTGATATTCAGATAGACAAAGAGATATAAGAGGTCAAACTCACCTCATGGAAAGGGTGCAGGTATAGGGTTTGGGGTTCAGGCAGGCAGATGTTTCCAGGTGCTGACGAAAGCAGTGGGAATGAGCGAGTATGGCACAGTAGTGATGCTGTTCCAAGCATCCAGTGTGGGATCATAGCAGTCCAGAGTTTTACACCGCTGTGTGCCAAAGTAACCACCCACTACATAGAGTTTGTTCCCCGATGCCACAGCCTGGCAGCTCATCCGCTTGGCCGTCACATCGCCCACTTTAGTCCACTGGTAGCTCTCACTGCTGAACTTATAAGCCGAGCATGCAGAGAACTCAGTATCCCCACCCATGACAAAGATCTGGTTTCCCAGTACGGCAGCAGCAGTGTAGCGCCACGGCTGCGGGCAGGAGGCGGGCACAGTCCATCGATTCTCCTGCGGATCGTAGCACTGCACCTTGGGCAGCTTGTCGTGGGTGACGCTGGTTCCTCCAAAGGCAAAGAGCTTGAGCTTGACGCTGACCACTGCTGCATTGCTCACACCTTCTCTCAAAGGCGCCACCATGGTCCACTTGTTCGCCACTGGGTCAAACTGCTCTACCTGTTTGAGAGATACGGACGGAGAGGCTGGGAGGCAGCCAGTTGCTGCGGTGTGACCTCCTACTACGTACAGGCAGTGCTTCAGCTCTGCAGAGCCATGGCCAAACCTGGCAATGAGCATGGGTGCCGCCTTCGACCATTCCTCATGGACGGTGTCATAGACCCATACATCTTTGGACACACCATTCTCTGAGCCTCTTCCACCGGTGATGTACACCTTACAGCCGATGGCGCAGGCGCTGAACTCCTTCCTGGGGCTGGGAATGTCTGCCTTGGGGATTATCTCTTTGGCTTTCTGATCCACCAGATACAACTTGTCACACATGAAAGTCTGCCCACCCAGAAGAAAGAGGGCGTGGCTGGTTTTTCTTGGTCGAGCACACGGGCTGTTAACAACGCCATCATTCTGCAGGATCTTCAGCTTACAGCGGATAGCTTCATCCACCAGCTCCTTGCTCTTGGCCTGGGCGTTGATCAACTCTTCTGTAGAAACGTTCTCCATGAGAAAGATGGCAGGCAGTAGGGCCAGACGGACTGTTCTCAGGAGGTCTGGAAGGTGACAGTGCCTCTTTTCTAGGTCATAGTTGATCCAGTTGAGGGCAGCTTCATAAACCAGTCTCTCATCTTCTGTCTCTAGCTCCTCATGTGACAAAAGCTGCACAACCATATCTTTGGGCAGTTGGAGGAAGTCCTCTGTCTTGCAAATAGCAGGAAAGTTGCTGAGGCACATGCCCCAGGAGAGCTCTGACAGCTTGGTACACTGGTGGGCATCAGACAGCAACAGCATACCAAGACAGTTAGATGGGTGAAGGTTTCTCTCTAAGAATTCAGCACAGGCATCCCGGATGTCCTGAAACTCCAGCATGTCCCCAGCCTCTAATAGTGACTCTGCATTCTCCTCGTTGATGACCACACGTGACGAGTAAGCGTAATCCAGCAGGAGCTCTAAAACCTCCGGATGGATGGAGTCACGGAAGTCAACCTCGCTGGCCTGGCTCTCCCTTAACCCGCCACTGAACATGGCCTCAAAGTAGCGGCTGCAGGCAGCCAGCACGGCACGATGGCAGGGGAAGGAGCGGCTACCGGCATGAAGAAGGACATCTGTGAAAAGCCGTTGCTGCCGCAATGAGTTGAGGTGCATGAGGACACTATCGGCATATGAGGACTTGTGGAACAGGTAGATGTTCATAGAGCCAGTGCTGGCTCTAGATTTCCGGTTCTCATGGACGCACACGGACATTTTCATTGAATCCTGAAAAAGAAAAAAAAAGAAAATCTCTCTTAATGCATTTCATATTTAAGGTCTTTTTTTTGGCTGATGGTTGGTGTCAAAGTGCATGTTTTAGGTTTATTTCAGTCTTTGTAGAGAATCCACAATTATCTTTTAAACAAAATCTATGAGGTTACTACGATCATAAAGCCGACACAGCCAATAGAAGGGGCAGTAATGATATAGGAATTTGTCGCTGTCAAGACACAGCATTAGGAAAGAAATGCGATCATCAGAGTGTGCTATTATTCACTCTCCATCTAAATTCACTGAAGGTCTCCTCTTCCAGCATCGATGTCTCCATCTTTCAAGTGTTCTTTCTGCCACTAATTAGCCCTGCCATTTCCCACAGGAACTTATACTCATATTAACTTATGCATTAAGTAAATTTTTTCAATTTACATTGTGATATGTTTACAAAACAAAGCATTCAGCAAATGCATGCAGCTTTTAGTTTTTGTAATGGAAAGAGAGTAAGTGTTTTTGGTGATCTTTTTCAAAATAAATAATTATTATGTTCTAATACATTTCAATAAGCATACAATAACCATTTTAAAAATGACCATGTACACTAATTTTAAAGTTAAATGCAAAATATGCATGAGACACTTGTTAGCTGATATGCAAAAGCAGTGTGTACTCACTGTAAATCAGACAAAATTATGTTGTTTATCGGAGAGCCTAGACTGTTTGCCTGTAAGATTAGTCATGAAAAAGCAGATTGCTGCAGTTTTAGTTTTTAGTCAGATATTCAAGTGGGCCTAATTTTCCTTCTTAATTTGTATTCTCAGACATAACTATATATGCACACACTTTGATGCATGCACTACGCAGCCCTAATATGATGAATGATGTGTATTTTTGAACAGTATTGCAAACATTCCCAAGAGATAGAGACATTTAGCAAAACATTCAGTGATTACAAGTTGCAAAACAGCATACGTCTGGCAGTTACGAAGGTCAAGTAGATAACACTTGTCTTCTTTCAGAAAAGCCTACCGGTCAGCTTTTCCATTTCCAACTCCAAGCAGTACTAATCCCCCTCTTTTCTTTCTCTTTAAGAAAAGAGGAAAGAATGAGACAGCAGGACTCTTTTGAGCCTCTGAGAAATGCACAGAATTTACTCCACTCCCCTCCAGAAAGTCACAGTTCCCATCTTCACTGTCCTTGCCCTGTCCTCACTTTCATTCCACCCAATTTCCAGACATACCAAGTGCCTCCTTAACTCTGTTCACAGAGGCACTGAGTCCCTGTCTGACCTAGTAAATCCACAGCTGTCTTTGACCAGACTTACTCTTTTCCAGGTCACTCCAAATAATTTAAGGAGTGACAGAAGACTGCTTAATCTTAAGAGTGAATCTTGAGACCAATTATACTCCACCCAAATTTGGCATTTTTGTATCAAAACAGGCATGAGGTGGTTGCATGTTTGTAGTTTTCCTATTGACAGCAAACAGCTGCGGCTGTGGTCAGCTTGAATTCTGTCGGTTAAAATTTATTCCAATGATGACAAGCTTTCAAGACAAGACAAAAAAGTATGAAAAAAAATCCATAAAACTTCAAAACATTTCAGAGCTTTGAAGAGAGTGACTACATGATATTGAGTTTTTATTCCAGAGGAACTACGGACGTTTTGGTACTGTTTTTTCCAGCATGAAAGCTTGTCACAATTGTGATCTATTGCCAGTGACTGTAGTCAAGCGGACCACAGCTGCCGTTGTTTTTCTGTCAGTGAAAATTTTTTTTATAATCCTACAGGTGGTCAGTGTTTGATTCTCAAAAGATAGATTTTTGGTAAACAATCAATTTAAGACTTATGGAGCTGAAAGGTTTCAAGGTACCATAAATGATTCCACTACAACCCAGCTGCAGGGGCAAGTTTCCATTTTCTTTCAGTTGCATCATCTACTCCAAAATCCTCCGAATGCTGTCTCGTGAATAGGCAATCAGGAATGAACCCTGCAAATACAAATGAAAGTCCAATGGGGCTTTCTGGTGAGCAGTGTCACTCATACCTCTGGCTTCAAACGAACTGTATTGTTCCATGTCATTCTAACTAACTCACCAAACCAGCTGCTGTATGTAAGGTTATTGTTTTCACCCAGGTTGGCTGTTTTGGTGCAGCTGTCACTGGGGAAAACACAACCGGCAGCCTGTTTTACCATAATGTATTCTGTGTGCACAACTGTGTACACTTGTTTTCAGGTATCTTGTGCCTCTCAGCCAATCTGATAGCACAGGTTTCATGTTTTAGATATGCTAGCAGCATTGCTGTAGGGATGGCAATGTCAGTCAATGCTCCACTTTGGCGCAGACTCAAATATCTCACAGGTTGGTTGTGAAAGCAGCTTATTACAATCCACATTTACCTTTATGGTTTTCCTAAACAAACAACATTAACCACACGTTGACGATGGTCGGCCTGTCGCTGGCACTCTCCAAGTCAACCTATTTGGTCATTTTGGTGAGGACATGTTGGCCTCAGGGCTGCTAACATGACTGTAGACTCTTAGTCTTGTTATTCTATTCTTAATGACTTACCAAAGAAAAATCTGGTTTAATACTGAAACTAAATGACTCATATAACTGTGACCACAAGAATAAACAGTCTGCGAAACATTTCTTAAGGGAATAAAACAATGGTAAATGTTTCACAGGTGTTCTCACAGCTAATACATGTCTTAAGGAATGTATTGCATAATATGTGGGGGGGGAAATCAATTTAAAAAAAATATAAAACCTTCCAAGTCATATTTCATAATAATAATATGAGGAAGAATAACATTTATCACAACTTAATGACATTCAAAACCAACTGTAGCTTTGGTTCAACAGGATTTATTGCATTCCAGCACTGACAAAAGTGGCAACCTGTCATCTTCTGCCCTATGGCTCAGCTATAATGAGAATATCCTAACCTGCTCTCTCACCTGCACAACACCTCCTACACACACAAACACACAGACACTCAGTACCGATACTGCAGCTCATGTTTTCTAATTGGAACTTGTAAGTGGCTTGATTTGAATAAGTGGTCCTAATAAATCATGCACTAAATTGGAGAGGTTTTGCATATACTAATAATTAGCATGTTAATGAATGTAACCTTCAGTAGTCCAGGTCTGAGGCACAGTCAGTAGCTGAATGGCAGATCAACATTTAGATTAGTCCATCAGGAGCTCGGTAGAACAATTGAGAACAAATGAACAGTTGTGATTATTTTAAATGATACAGTATGGTAATTGTCTGCTCATAGGAGAGATAGTGAAAATACAATTCTGTATCACTAACGGCAGTGACCTGCAATCACGATAAGAGGTGAATGCCACTGTTGCAGCCTTTTCCCAAACATATCTGTTGTTTCTGTGCCAATGTTGTTCTGACTTCCAAATTATAATCATTTTCTCTCTGAAATGTCTCAACAAGCTACTTTCTCATCTTGATAATGGCAAGGCATGACAGGGCCTTGCTCTTGGAAATGCCAAATATTTTGGTCTGTTGTCCAAATGAGAGTTTGTGTCACGAAAAAAAAATCTTGCTCAACTTTCTACTTATCCACTCACTCATTTACTCTTGTTAAAATTTTACTTAATTTGCCTTTGATGATGCATTCAATGCTAAAATTATGATAATCACAGTTTGTACATTCCTGTTTTATTCCCCTACCAACATCCCATTAAATTACACACTCAAGGTGTTTTGCTTGTGTAATCTAAGTTTTGCATTTTATCAAACAAAGTTTTGGTGGATGGATGAGGTGACTCACAGGAGAGGTGAATAAAGAAATCACATACTTATTCCATTTGCATATTACAGGATAAAGCCTGGATTACCAAGTAGCCTACAGGTCCTGAAAACCCTCTGTTCATATATTTGTAATTTAAATGGTAAATTTGTCCATTGTTTCAAATTTGCTTGCCCCCCAACATCCGTCCAGTAATAAAGTTTTATTATTGTATGCCAAACCTACAGAATCTAAGAAGACCTGGGATGGTTTTCAGACTTATATTTCCATATGTGGGTTCTTGTAAATGTTTGTATTCCAGTTCTCCTTTATCAGAGGAATCAATTTCACAAACAGTCTGTCAAATGTTTTCTGCAAACAACATGCACACATCCCTCCGGACATTAACCCAACACGTGTAAACACAGATTATTGGGGAAATCCGATTACCACAACCCCATTTAACCTCTCAAAATCAGATTACTACTTTAATCTGGATGTTACAGTAAACAGGTTACATAGTGTGTATAAACATCCTGAAGGTTAACAAGTTGCCCTGAAATTCCTGATGACTGTCTGGCATTAACGTCTCATGTCTCAAAACTGTCTTTACTTGAGAGAATGCAGACTAGAGCTGAAACTATGGATCGATTTGTTGATCGCCAGCTACCGTATAACTGATAAAAACAAAAACGACCAACATTACAGCTTCTAAAATGTGAGGCTTTGCTGCTTCTGTGATTGCAATCTGAATATCTTTGAATTCTAGACTGTTAGTTGGATAAAACAAACTCGGAAGACGGCACTTTAAGAAACTGTGATGGACATTTTGCTTTTTCTGCCATTTTATAGACCAAACAATTACATGGTCAACTGAAAAAAGGTTTGGCCAATTAATATAAAATGGAAAATAATTGTTTGCTGGAGACCGATCGCTGTTAATTATATGGATGTTATTTGTGAACCATCGAGGAAAATGTTTTAAAATGTTGTGAAAATCTTGATAACACTGGCCAATAAGAACAAACTGTTTGTCACAAGCTGTGACAGAGCAAGACAGCGCACACAAACGGCTTTTTTTAAAACCAAAACCACACCACAAGTTTTTAATCTTAGCAGAGGAAAGGTAAAACATTTTAGCTGCCTCACCTTGGTTTAAAGGTGACTTTAGGATTCATTTTACTACACAACAAGTGACAATTTGTATATCATTTACATAACCTGTATGAGGAAATAAAGCATTTTTTTCTAATAAGCTTATGTAATCACTTTGACTTCCGCTGGTTAAAGTTAAGGGGATGGGTTGTTACATGACTGTTTATGTAGCACCACTTGTGAACAACCTCACTGAAACATCAAATAAAAATATGAAAGTCTCTACTTTCAGCGTAAACCAACTGAATTACTGATCAATTAGTTGATCAACTGTTTTGATAATCATTTCATTCATTTTTTAAGCAAAAATAGTGAAACAATGCGACTTTCTTTGCTTCAGCTTCTCAAATTTGCTGCTTTTCTTTGTCACCTATAATTGCAACCTGGCTGTGTTTAAGGTTTTGGACTGTTGGTCAGACAAAGCAAGCACTGTGAAGACGTCATTGTGGGCATTTCAGACTATTTTTTTAACATTACACAACTGACCATTTCCTCGAAAATAAAAGAAAGAAAATAATGTATAAATTATATATATATATAGGCTACTATTGATCTCGATAGTTGCAGCACTAAAAGCAAAAACTATTAATATGCGATACCATCAGTGCTCATGGTATTGACTTCTCTTTGGTCTCACAGGCTATTTTCTGTTACAGTAATAGAGACAGTACATTCACACCAGCGAGCCCTGAGAGGAGGAAAATATGCCAGCAGTGTGAGAATGAGCGGTTGGCTGGATGTCTGGCAGAGTTGTCATCCTCATCCCCTCACAGAAAACAGATCCACAGGCACAAAACCGGAAAGCACATACATGCCACACTCACAAAGCACACAGTAAAAAGGCATGCACACGCACAGCCTCTGGTCTCTATCTGAGGCCTGGCAGGGCTGCAGTCTGTTTTAAAATCATTGCCAGGTGTTCACAGTCAACCATGGACTCAGGAAGAAGGATGGGAGGGAGAGACTTCAAAAGTAAACACGAGGCTTATATGGGCCAGCTCTATATACATCTGCTACTTGGTGGGGGGAAGAAAAAAAAAATGAAACAAGCTGCAAAACAAGAGGACGCACCAGCAGCTATTGATCTGTATGTCTGCATCAATCTTAATCTGACAGAATCAGACCTGTAGTCTTAAACCAGCTGTCCACACACATCTGAGAGAGCTTAACTGTGTTTCAACCAAAAGCCCCGCCACTTAAGAAAACACGGTTTAATCAGTTTATAACAGCAAGAAGAGCACACATCCCACCTGATGTCGCCTTTAAAAACATCTTGAGCGTGCATTCAAGGGAACAAGACGCAGGAAGAGAGCACAAAGGACCGAGAGGAGAGCTGTTTTGCATATTTCATGATAATAAGGAAACAGTGCAATCAGCCGTGCCTCGGTGAATATACATAAAATTGACATCATCATTGAACGGTAACAACAATCTTTTGTCCGTCAGCCTGTTCGCTGTTGCGCTTTCTCTGTCACAGCGCGGAGGTTTCCATCATCAGGTGATCAGAAAAAGAGGGGGGGTGCATCAGTTGTTGCAATAACAATCATCCACGTTTAGAAGCTATGATGAAGATTTACAGTCAAACCTACCTCTTTGGGTGAAAGCAGGAGTTCAATTGCGTCCGCAGTATCCCTCGAACATGCCACTTCTGAAAGAGCCACGATGCAAGCCTTGCGCTCGGGGAGTGGAACAACTCCTTTGGTTATTTCCGAAATACTGGCGGACTACTCGGTTAGAATGAGGCCGTTTCTCCTCAGATAAAGCACTAAACTTCCGAACTCTGGAAGTTATGTATATATATATATATATATACGTACAGCCTATGTATCTGAAAACAGACGGGCTTTAGAGTAAAGGATGAGCTGAGATGTTCGGAGGCGTTCCTCCAGCGCTGCCGCTCCGCTTGTGAGTGTCTGTCCTCCTCCTGCGCTCCCAGTCCTCTCTCACTGAAATCAATGGGTGTGTTTACAGAGAGAGGGGGGAGGACCGTCTCCTCGTGCAGGAAATGAAGTGAGATGTGGGGGGAGCGGGCGACACACACACACACACACACACACACACACTCATAGGCTTACAAAGACCATTTGAATTAGTAGAAGTTGTTTTATTTACTGCTCAACTTTTTAGTCGAACTCCTTATTTTTTTTTAGGTCCCAGGTGAGTGCTCCACTACATTTCAGAGAGGGATATTGTACTTTCTAGCAATACAACAATGTGCAAATACTCCACAACAAGTGAAAATCCTGCATATAAATTCCTAGAAGCAAAATGTAGTAAAAGTATCAAAGTTAAAGTACTGTTCCGGATAACTGATACATTATTATGTGACAGATTGTTACTGATGCAACAATGTGAAAGACATGCTGTTTCTGGTCAAAGGGGTTTTTTTTAACTACTTTTATACAGCTCAATAGTTTTGTCCAGTGTTTCCCAACCCAGGGGGTCGGGCCCCCTCCAAAGGGTCACAAGATAAATCTGAGGGGTCGTGAGAAGAAACAACAGTTCTCCTTCTGCTAGGAAAATCTCTATAGATTTTTTTTTGGATGGACTTTTCTAACAACTTATAGATGTCTGAAACTATACAAGGGGTCATAAGCTGAAAAGGTTGAGAACCACTTGTACGTAACAGAAAAAGATCATCTCATAGCCCATGTTTTTTTTCTAGATTCCATTATGTGTATAGCTCTAATAACTATGTTTTGGTGCATGTGTAGGCTATACCTGTAGTGTTACTGACTGACACTGTATTTGCGTGTGTGTTTTTGCATTACTGTTGGGTTATTTACCCAAATGACCAAGACAAGTTTTACCTTAACTGTCATAAATTGATTGTTAGTTGTAAAAGTGTTCATATAACATTGAATGCACATGTTGTTAAAAATAAAAAGAGCTAGAATATATTATAACAGTTTGCAACCATATACTATATATTTTTAGTCCAAATAACGCAACAAAAATATTAAAAATAATAACACTCGGCCAAAGTTCCATGGTACTGGGTAAAGCTAACACAGTGTATGCTGGGTCAGTTTTGTAAATTTGGAATTTTGCTGAAATTGTTATTTTTAATAAGAAGATTTTTTTAAGATTAAAAAAGAAGTCTGGTAGATATTACAGCAAAACACCTGATGGACCATTTGCCACGGTACAGGAGCTGATAACTCTATTATAGTCCAAGCTTGTTTCCCAGTGTGGATTAACGACTAAACAAGATCCAGCATTGTGAATGGAGCCAGAGAAAATGTGCTTTTGTGGAGTCAAAAACTTGACTAACTGCTAAAAAACAATACTTTCTGAACAATATCATATAGAAAATACCATAATGTCTGACTGAGTCACAGCAAGCTCACCGCTGAACGCCATAGACACATGTAAATCCTATAGGATTATAAAGACATTGTGGTTTTCGGTCGGGGTAGTTGGGAACGGGAAGTCCAATTTTATCCCTGGACATCTTGTCTGAGTCACATCTGTGGGGCTTGTTGACAGTACTTTTGGCTGTGACTAAACTCTTCAGTGGACCCTTGAGGCTGTAATCTTATTATTTTGTTTGTTTTTATGTGTAGTGCACTTGTGTTGTGGTGATCAGGGCTGTTACACACTCGCATCCTGTTTCTTTTCCCATCAACTGTTTTAATGAAGACAGAAATTACACAATTACTGTAGCTTCATATTAAGGATAATACAGAACAGTGTTCCTTAGAGAAGTGTGATTAGTTGGAAAGAAAAACTCATTATGGTGCTTCATAGGTATGACAGGAGAGACATCTAGTGGACAAAATGTGGCTTGGACTAATAGTACTGAAGACTGAAAGCTGAAGCTGAAGGGGCAATAGATAGGAGCAGAAAAAGAAAACAGACAGATTATTCATCTAATTATTAACTCTTGTGTCTGGTTGACTTTGGCTTTACTTCCTCACTGTTGTATGTGCTGAAATAACAATAATATCTGCAAAATCAACCATTTGTTTTTCTTTTTTCTTTTATTCTGACCTTATTAAAAACCATCTCTGTGCCCCAAACCACACTTAACGTAACTTTTGTTACCAAAATCATTCTGTTTCACCAAATCAGGAAATATGTCATGTTATATGGGTCATGCATGTACAAATAGATGTTCCTTTTGTTTGGCAAGAAGTCATCACAGATAGTATGTATTCTACAGATAGTAGAAGTATGTTTAAAGTTGTTTTGTAGCCTCCCTGTTAGGAAATTGTTGTGATTTGAATTGATTGTTTCATATATACAGACAGTTAATAAATAAATGATAGAGGTGCAAGAAAAGAAAAGTTTTATGGGAGTAAATGCTTCATATATACCACAGGAGAGACATCTAGTGGACAAAATATTCCTGGGATGATTGACACAGTTTGGGTAGATCTGGAAAGACAACATACCATTAGATGGTTTATTTGCTTAGACTTAGAGTAATTTAGAAGAAATGTATAAAACAATTGAGAAGCTAAAATTATTCTTGTAGTATGTATTAATTTTTGAAACTCACCATTTTATCTTTGTCCATATTTATTGTTTATATAAATATATTTATATATTATTATTTATAGACAGACTCTTTGAATATGCAAATGTTTTCATTTCAAACGTTTTCCCGATGGACACAAGATGTCTCCTACTCAGCAGTAAAGTCCATTCTCAGTGTCTGTGCACTGGTGGCTTCAAGTTTTTATACATCACACTTATATAAGTGAAAAATAGTGGAATAAATGGACTTCCAAACTATTTGTGATGTAAAAAATCATTCCAGCAGGCCTCGTCATTTAAAGGACCAGTGTGTAGGATTTAGTGGTATCTGGCGGTGAAGTTACAAATTGCAACTAACTGCACACTGCTCACATCTGTATTTGACAACCTGGGAATGAGAATTACAGTGGCTAGTCCCTATCTACAGCCACTGTTTGGTTTGTCTGCTATGGGCTACTTTAAAAACATCATGGTTCATCATGGCGTATTCCATGGGAGGCAACCTACTGCATCCGTAACGAAAACACAATGATTCATATATTCAGGTGATTATACACTAATGAAAACATACCTACGAATATTATATTCCATTTCTGCCAATAGATCCTCCTAAATGTAACACACTGGACCAATAAAATCAGATTTGAGAGAAACTTTCCACTTCGCACTTCCGCAGATTCATGTGAAAACATCCTTCTAGTGTCAAACTCTGCACATACATCATTCTGCAGTGAAGTTCAAACATCCAACTGTAGGAACAAGAAGAACAACATATTTTTGAGAGGAGTTTGTGTTCTTTAAGAGTTTAAAGTCTTATTTTAATTTATATTTATCTCATGTTGTGGTTTATTCCAACTCATGGATAGAAAAGGTCACTAATCACTATTTGTTGTGGGCCAAATATAGGCCAAGACATAAAATATGGGCAGCCATGAAGGGTCACACATGCTGACAGAACATCACAAATGAAAAATAATTGGGCTAGTCGATGCTTGTTATATAATATCTCTTATGTCAGGCTGTTTATAGCTTTCACATGGTGGTTTGAATGTGGATCAGACATGATTCCAGAAAGTCATATTGTTGTGTGTAAGCTGCATCTTTTTCTGTAATTCTGATAGATGTATAAAAAAGTTTTAAAAAAAAGATAAGTTGATTGTCTGGTTGGTTTAACAATATTAGTGGAAAAGAATTAATATAGACACAGCTTGTTTCATACTGATATAAAACACTACGATATACAGTCACAACATTATAAAGATCCATAACTGCATTACATTCTGTTGCTTTGCATTCTTTGCACACTACATTTCACTTCATGTCTTCAAGGACGGGTAAAGAAATACTTAATGTATTACTTTACAGCAGTAGGCCACAGACACAGAACAGGTTGGTTCCCCTTTAAATCTTTGCACAACATTGACTTCTGCGTGTGAAGCCCCGCCCAGGTCACTCAAACATAATGCTGCTGCGTGACAACCAGGTCTTGTGACTCCACTGTCTTCTGTCAACATGAGCACTACTCTGAAGTTCACTGCACTATTGCTGGCCCTTAGCCTCTGCCGGGGGCTGAGGCACGACTACATCGACAACTACATCGACAACTACATTGACGAGGTGACGGAGGAAGAGGCCGAGCTCGTCGCACAGCCTTCGAAATATGGCTCTCTGTGGCCTCTGCCGCAGAAAGTGCAGCTCTCAGAGGTTTCATTCAAGTTAACCAGCTCCAGCTTCAGAATTGTCGACGCCAAAGACTCAACCGCCGGGCCGAGCTGCAGCCTCCTGCAGGACGCGTACAGGAGGTAAGGAGCTGCATTTGATTTATCTTTACTTTCTCTTTCTATGTTTCTAATGAGGGAGATAAAAAGCGCTGTGCTGCGTTCAGGGACTCGCCGCCGCCGCCGCCGCATGACAAGCAATGTTTCCACTTTCTCCCTCTCTCAACAGGTATTATGAATACATGTTCGGCATTGCAAAAAGGCAGCAGCTGAACAAAGGCAGGCGAACAGGCCCCTCTGAGCTGACGGAGCTGCAGGTGTGGATCACATCACCTGACTCTGAATGTGACAGTTACCCCAGTTTGACTTCTGACGAGTCATGTGAGTCTCTTCCTCATTCATATCATCTGCACAGGGTTGCTGGAATGTGAGAAGTACAAATGTGAAATCCTTTACTTGGGTATTTCCATTTTATGCTTCTTTATGTACTTTTCACTTCTCTACATGTATTTAACAGTTTAAAGAACAGATAAAACATATGATGAGCCTATAACATATGATGCACGGTCCAATTGTATGTAAAGTGTGTACTTCAGTGACATTTTCATTCTGGGTCTTGGAGTATTTTTATATTGAAGCTGCTTTCACTTAAGTAGATGATCTGAATATTTTCTCCATGGACTGCTTCTGCAGAGATCAAGGTTGCTAACTGTTATCTGCAGACTGACTAATCTGGATATTTATCTCTAGCTATTGGTGTTACATTCTGCTTTTCTTTTCTTTTCTTCAAATACAGTGGTGGAAATGACCAGGAAGTACATTTACTCGAGTACCTCAGTACAAGATGCTACTTTATACGTCTATGTCACTTAACTTCAGTGGGAAATGTCGTTCTTTTTAGTCTACTTTATGTATTTAACAGAGACATTTCCCCTCTAGACTTCTCAGATTGTTTGATTCCAATTTAATTTGAAACTGTTGAAGGCCCAAAGAGGTAAAATTGTCAAATATCTTACTTAAAACCATTAAAAATAATAAAGAAATAGATAAAAAATATTGTTTGTAGGGGGCCTGAAACCTAGGGTGGGAAACACTGGGCTAAACTACCAAACCGTATATAAAGCAGTTTAAACTAACTCTACCTGGACCAGCTACAACAGTAAATTCTTTTATAGTAAACAATAATTCTTCTGGGGATTCTTCATGCTACATTTTACAACCAGATAGAGGGCCTATGCTTATGACTTGCCTGTAGAATTAGATATTACCTGGATGGTAGATACTAGGATTAAAATGGTTAGTAGAGACCAAATGTCTAAAGCCCACCTAAGTGCTTAAGACCCTGACTTTAGCACAATAATAACATCCTGCCAAGCTTTAACAACCCTGACGTTGCACATGCAATGTTTGTGTCCACAGATGAGCTGTCAGTGAATCAGCCGTATGCTGTCCTCAAAGCACCGAAGGTCTGGGGAGCCCTGCACGGTAGGTTTTTTTTTTTTTTTTGCTTGTTATTGCACCACTTCAAAGTTAACTCTGCATTAGAGCTGCAACTAACAATTATTCCCTTTTTAATAATTAATCAATAGATCACAATTTCTCAGAGCCAAAGATCATATCATCTTTCATCTTTTAAAGTGCTCGTTTTGTTGTACCAGTATTAGAGAATCCAAATACATTCAATTTACAATTATATAAAAACAGAGAAGGGCAGAAAGTCCTCTAATCTAATAAACTGCACATTTTTGACATTTTGCTTGATTAAAAAAAAACTTACAGCAATACGTTTTCACTCTCTTGCTCAAAGTTAGATTAGAAGATCACTACCACTCTCATGTGTGTCTGTTAAATATGAAGCTACAGTCAAGAGACAATTAGTTTATCTTAGCACAAAGTTATAAATATGTACCGGATTATCACTTGGCCAGGAGCAGTGACCACACAATGACGACAACACAAGGCTATTTAGCGAGTTCCAGTTTTTATGCTAAGCTAATGTCTCCTGCAGCTTCGTATTTAACGGACAGACTTGAGTGGTATCGATCTTCTAATCTAACACACAGCAACAGAACGCAAATAAAAGTATTTCCCGAAATGTCAAACTGCTATTTTAAATGATAATCAATTATCAAAACTGGTGTTGGTTTTCATATGATCTTAATCACACACCATTACAAACACATGATCACAAATAAAAAATGCATGTGTAAGCTATATCTCTGTGCATGTATGTCCTGCGTGCGTTGAAAAGCTGTTGTGTTGATAAAATGCTGAGTCAGATGTGGTGTTACACTTTGTGTGGTACTGTGGTGCAAACTTGGTCACTCATTTCAAGATAAAGTTACAGTGTGTGTTTGTTACTGTGAAACTTTGCTCACAGATCTATAATAGGGTGTGTTATCAAGTGACATTAACTTTTATACTTTTATTGCAATAATTTCATGATTTAATACATCCACAAAGAAATGGTCTTCTAAACGCCCAGTGATACAAGCAAAGAGAAAGAAGCTATAACTTCAAATTCACCCATTTATGTACACATGCATAGACACATATGTATTTGTACGCACATGCATACATTCGTCCGTACTGATGTGCCAGAAGAAAGATAAATATAGTAAATTTGAAAAAAATAAGCAATAAGCAAATGTTGTAAATGAATTGACAGTAACTTAATTGTATGTTATCATAAAACGTCCGGGAACTTTACATGATTTACGTGCAATGTGTTAATTTGTTTCCATTGTTTTTAGGTCTGGAAACTTTCAGCCAGTTGGTGTATGAAGATGAATATGGAGCTGTAAGTGAAGGACAATATGATTTGTTTCAAAATGTTTATTCTTAACGAAGACATTTTGTTGAATGGGTCAGGCTGATTTTTAACTTTGTATTCTTTCAGAAAAGCATCAATTCAACAACAATCAGTGATTTCCCCAGATTTGCACATAGGGGCATCTTACTGGACAGCTCTAGGCATTTCCTGCCCATCAAAGTCATCTTGGCCAATCTGGTGCGTCAGTAAGACTTTCTTATCTTGTATTGTCATTTTTAATTTTATTTACTGTTTAATTGTTTTACTTTCTTCCTTCATACAGGAAACAATGGCCATGAATAAAATTAATGTCTTTCACTGGCACATTGTGGATGATCAATCCTTCCCTTACCTGAGCCGAACGTTCCCGCAGCTGAGCCAGCAGGTCAGTGAGACTGAGTATTGGCGTTAAACTGCAGCAAAGACAGATTAGGACAATGTATTTGTCCCAGTCCACCAGAAGAGCTTGTTCATTGTTGTCATCTTGTTCGCAGGGAGCTTACCACCCATACACACATGTGTATACACCTGCTGATGTGAAGATGGTGATCGAGTTTGCCCGTCTGAGAGGCATTCGCGTCATCCCAGAGTTTGACACTCCAGGGCACACACAGTCTTGGGGCAAAGGTGAGTCACCACCATTTTTTCCCCCTGTTTTCTTTTAAAAGAAATTAGATTTTCTTTCTTTTTTTTTAATACTACCTGGAAGCATTCAGCAAGGACATATAAAACAATAAAGCATACAAAATGTAATCTATTCTTCTCAGGCCAGCCAGATCTGCTTACACCCTGTTACTCTGGATCCAAACCCTCTGGCACCTTCGGACCAGTGAACCCCATCCTGAACACCACATACGACTTTATGAGCCAGTTCTTCAAGGAGATCAGCGCTGTGTTCCCTGATGCCTATGTTCACCTGGGAGGTGATGAGGTGGACTTCACCTGCTGGTAAGACTGTGTACAAAATGTTAAAAAAAAACTTCAAAGACCAAAGATTGGACAACAGTTAATGTTGCCGTGTTTGCCCTGCAGGAAGTCCAACCCAGACATTCAGAAGTTCATGGATCAGCAAGGCTTCGGACAAGACTACAGCAAACTGGAATCATTCTATATCCAAAAGTGTGTTGCTCATTTTATTCTAATTTGGTTGCTTCTTCTCTTTTCCTTATACATAACATGATTTTGGCCTTTTTTGATCTGATAGACTCTTGGATATTGTCACCACTACCGAGAAGGGCTACACGATCTGGCAGGAGGTCTTTGACAATGGTGTAAAGGTAACTGAAGGAAAATGGCCTGTGCCATATCAGAAGGTTATTTCCATGTTAAAGTTAAGAATGTAAGACATGTTTATATGCTAACTACACCAAGATGTTTGGTCAAGATTTTATTGATGAGTACTTTATTACCATTTATAAGTCATTTATGTGTTTTGTTTTTCATTAGAAATTGTTTTACATTTTAGGAAATAAGCTTATTTGCTTTCTTGTCGAAGGTAGCATGAAAAGATCGATACCACTGTCATGTCTGAACAATATGAAGCTACCGCCAGCAGCCAGTTAGCTTAGCATAAACTGGAAACCGCTAGCCTGGCTCTGTCCAAAGGTAACACATTCCTCCTCCCAGCACCCCCTGAAATCTAATTACTATATTATTATCTATATATTTATTATCTATATATTTTATTCAAATTACATGTTGTTTTAAAGAGTGGAGTTACTCCAGCCAGCTAACTAGCCAAGACCTGTCATTGTTGGTGGGCAACTAGCTGAAACACCCAGAAGTTACCGCTCCCAGTCAAGAAATTGTCTTTTTTAAGTTTTTGTTACCTTTGGACAGACCCAAGCCAGCTGTTTCTACCCGTTTCCAGTTGTTATGCTAAGTTTAGCTAATTGGCCGCTTATGGTATATTCATACAGAGCATACAGACATGAGAGTGGCATCAATCTTCTCATCTAAAACTCAGCTGGGAAGCGAATAAACACATTTCCCAAAATGTGAGACTATTCCTTTAACCAAAACCAACCACTCATGTAGTATCTAATCTAAGTACAGTAGCGTGGTCTGTAACTATTCCAGCTAAAGCCAGACACAGTAGTGCATGTGTGGATCGGCGGTGGGTCTAATGAAGAGATGGGCAAAGTGACAGCGGCAGGGTACACCACCATCCTCTCCGCCCCATGGTACCTAGATTACATTAGCTACGCACAGGACTGGCAGAAGTACTACAAGGTTGAGCCACTCAACTTCAACGGTCAGTTTTCTTAAACATTGCTCTCAGTCATCTGAAAAATCAATTCATTTGGTGGAGGAAAACTCTGATTTAGGCCTGGTGTATTGGGGCAAAATAGAATTCTGGATTTTGTTCAACAGGCTTACGCTTGGAAACTGCACAGTTGTGACAAGGAGAGAGTCCGAGACAGTGAACATGGGGCTGTGTGGTTGGTGGTTTTTGTAGAATGATTCACCGTTCACCACTGTGGAGGACCAATCCTGGTGTATTTTAGACAGTGAAGTGAAGAATGTGGCATAGTAAGGTATGGTACACCCCTTGTCTTGGGTGTCCTGGGTTCAAATCCACCAGCCAGGGCAAAATAAGTCAGGTTTGGTCCTTCATAAACCTGGATCGAGACGAAAGTTAGACTGAACCTTTTTTGATTTCCAGACAGTTTGGGACCTTTTCGTCTTCGTTCCACAGCCCCTCCCCTCATTTTTCCATTTCATCTTGCTAATACTGATACTATATGTGTGTGTGCTGTGTAGCTGAAACCAGACACACTTATCCACGTTTGGAAAGGAAACCAGCAGCAATACCAGAATGAGATGGCAAATGTTACATCATCAGGGTACCGGACCCTGCTGTCCACTCCCTGGTACCTGAACCGTATCTCCTACGGCCAGGACTGGCAGGGCCATTACAAGGCAGACCCGCAGGATTTCAAGGGTTTGTGTCTGCATGATTGATTTCTATAGCAAGACATTTTCCCTTTATGACTTTTAAAAAAATAATATTTTTTTTTTGTATTTACATAGGGTGTCAGGACTTTGCTCATATGATTCAGTTTTATTGTTCTGTTGTTGGTCTGACTTGGATTTTATTAGCTCTATTGTTTGACTCTTGACACAGATCTGAAATGTCATGAGGATATTTGTCACTGCTGTGCAAATACGTGTAAGCCTGTTGAATGAACAGAGGGAAAATATCTTAATAGTTCACCACATAATTGTAATTCCATTAAATTAAACATTGTTTCATTTATCACTCTAGTTCAGTGGAGTGTTTAGATTCCCTGGACGCTGCTTGAGTCACCTGATCTCATCAGATTATACATTTTACAACAGGAACTGAAGCACAAAAGAAGCTTGTGATTGGTGGAGAAGCCTGCTTGTGGGGAGAGTATGTGGACGCCACCAACCTGACACCCAGACTCTGGTACTGTATGGCTCATGTGATTCTTTCATAAACTCTTATCAGAACATAAATGTATTTTGAACCTTGACACATCACATGACTTTAGACGGGTTTTTCTTGCTTTGCGTTACTCACAGGCCTCGTGCAAGTGCAGTGGCAGAGCGACTGTGGAGTGCCAAAGATGTGACAGACATCAACGATGCCTTCAGCAGACTGTCTGTGCACCGCTGTCGCATGGTGGAGTAAGTATCTGACATGTCTATTATATTCAATTGCATCAGCCTCAGTCTCCAAATGTCTTAACAGACACACTCCTGTTAGAAAGGCTACCAATTTTAAACTAAAACATACTGTAAGAAGCATATTCATAAAAACAATTTTTTTTTTTTCCCTTTTCTAAGCCGCGGAATCCCAGCTGAGCCGTTGTTTTCCAGCTACTGTCCCCATGAGTACAAGGGTATATGAAAACAACTGAGAGGATGCCAAGTGGGAGCAAGAAAAGGGAAGCAATTCCATGCAATCAATTCCATGCTTTTATTTCAAACCGAGAAATCAAATGCTGAACTGCCATTGAAGAGATGTCACTGTACTGATGCTGAGACACATCATCCTTTCTAAATCTCCAGACCTACAAAACTCTTAATCACATCCTATGTCATAAACATCTTGGATTTATGAATGCACTTTTTGTTTTTTATCAATGTTTGTATAACTTCTGAATAAAATCTTTACATTTTATCTTCTAATTTGGTGTTTCTATTTATAAAAAAAAAAAACAAGGGTATGAAATACTTTGCTGCAGATTTATTTTGCATCAAATATTGTCCTCTTTTCTGCAGTGGGTATTCCTACTATAAATAGCATTTTACTCAAGTCCTAAAAGTCTTTTTGCGTATTAGCCATGCCTCTATCCCAGAGGGCCATTGGTCCCATTGCTGAACAGTTGCACAGTGTTGTTGAGAACAGGATCAAAGCAGACCAGACATTCTTTTAAGTAGGATGCTCTGGTCCTGGGGGTTCATGGCCTCATAGGTGTCCAGCGCCAGGGAGAAGGTGGCAGTGCCAGATGTCAGAGTTCGCAGGACGGTGGAATAGCCCTTTAAAAATCGAACAGGTATGAATAGTAAATAATTGTTATGGTGACCCGTTAAACTAAAAACTACGGTCAAAATATTTGAATTGGATGTCATCTCACCATCATCTCAGCCAACGGCACGGTTGCAAGCAGCACCTTGTTGTCGTGTCGACTCTGGATATCTTGGACGGTTCCTCGTCTTTGGGCCAAGTCCCCCAGCACAGAGCTAAGGTGATTCTCCCCGACAGTCACTTCCAGGGACATCAATGGCTCCAGGACCTGAACTCCTGCTAGCCTCAGGGCCTGCGTCCAAAGAAACAGAACCGTGGTTTATTAACAATCCTGTAGTCTACAGGTGTGACATAGGAAGTCATAATGGTTTACCTTAAGCATGCAGCGGGACACACAGGCCGACACCATGACGGGAACAGTTCCTGGTTCCACTTTGACACTTTTGATCAGTGTGGACACACCCAGTAAAGGATAACCAAGTAATGGACCTGAAGGTGAAATCATTGAAAACATTACATCTTAAATCTGGCTGTACAAAAAAAAAAAAGGTAGCACAGATTTGCGAGAAGAGTTTCGTTCAATGATACCTTGAAGATTTGAGGTGTGTACTCCGTTCTCCACTGCTGCTTTCATTTCTGGTGATAGCTGCCCCTCCACTTCCTCTGTGAAATCTAATTCACACAAGCCACCTGAAGAGAAGATGTCCACAGGTCTGACGGCCAGGTCCACTGTGGCAACATGTCGTCTCTCCCCAACAGTACGGTCCAGCGTATCTGTTACAAGTAAAGTAAGAATAATTTCTCCTCCACCCGTAATCTAATGCACTGATTAAGAAATGAGTGTTTGTTGCACCTGTAGTAGAGGCCTCGTGGAGAATAGTCTCCCTGTAAGCCACCTGTAGTGGTCCAAGGTGAGTCTCGATGCCATATTCTCTCCTGATTCGATCGTGGATGATCTCAATGTGTAGCTCTCCCATCCCACACAAAATGGTCTGAGGATGGAGAGTGATATGTATTTGACTCGTTAGTGGCAGATGATCTGACTAAAGGAAATCCTGGCTAATCCAATGATGGTATTACCTGGCCAGAATCAGGGTCAACCCTGACTTTAAGACTGGGGTCTTCTCTCTGGAGGCAGTTGAGTGCATTAGCAAGATCTTTTAGGGAAAAAAATTACAATGTGTGAGTCACCACAAGCTTTCTGGAGCATGTGTAGCAAGGCTATAATCACTGTCAACTGACCAGCCTGTTTAGACATGGTGGGCGGTTCTATGGTGCAGAAGAAGACAGGATCAGGGACCTCCACCCCTGAAAGGACCATGTTGGCATCTTCCCCACGTTTCTTTCTTGCCCCGCCATCATTTTGGGCTCGACGGGCTGCAGCTGTTGCTGAAGCTTTCGATGAAACGATGGTGTCCCCTGTGACAGCCTTAAGTGAAAGTGAAAAACTTTTTTGAGGGGAAAGTCCTCAAAATACCAAATAAGGAATGTGATGAATGAATGTCTGATGCTCTACCTGCTTCAGTCCCACAGTCAGAGCGATGTTTCCCGCTGTAATCGAGGGGGTTTCCACATGCTGATCAGCAAACGGCACTAGCAGCCTGCTAACCCTCTCACTACACACAACATGATACAAAAAATAGAAGTTTTATATTCATAATAATGATTTTGGTCAAAATCGATTGGTAGGTCAGAGCTTGATCATGGTTGCGAGGCTGTAATGAAAACTACGTACATGCTGTTCCGGTTGATGTTGTGGACAGCAGTCTGTGGTTTCAGAGTACCGGAGTAAATCCTAAGAAATACCAGAGGACCACGCTGCTTGTCATGGAGAACCTTGAAGGCCAGAGCACATAGGTCGTCCTTGTACCACCGTCTGAAGGATGATAAACACAGGTTAGACAACAAACAAATGTACATCGAAACATATTTTAATAATAGCATGGGATATTCACAGAAGGACAGTTCAGCATGATTTCCATTTTGGTTCCATTTTGTATCCAGGTTCCATCCATTCTACATTAATTGTGACAGTTTACATGTGTGCATCACAATCGCAGATATTTGTAAATCAGTTCTGAACAATTTCTCAGGCTCAGACCCTATTGACCCATTCGATTCCATTTGATGGAAGGACTACTACTCCACAGACCTCAAATTAAGTCACTACAGATGGGAAGCAGGTAATCACGTTTAACAGTGTTGTCTTAAAGGTCCCGTGTGTAACATTTAGGAGGATCTATTGGCAGAAATGGAATAAAACATTCATAGGTATGTTTTCATTAGTGTTACACGCAGGAAAGGCCACAGGTCAGATTCGAACCCTGGGTAGCTGCAGCAAGGATTCAGCCTCGGTACATGGGTGAGCTATCCGACTTGTGTGTTTTCATCTGGAATAAAACTTCCTATTGACAGCTGACTTTCCGCTGCAATAAAATAAAATTAAAGCAGAAAATAAAGCCTGACTTTACCCAGTCGAGGCTCTCATCCTCTTCCCAACTAGGAGAGTTTCATAGCTGTGGTTGTTTCAATACTTTTTTTTTTTTAAAACAAAAAACAGTATTGAAATGTAAAACCTAAAAGGTTCCAATCATGCTAGTCCTTAACTCAGTATCAGGTGTTAGTTAGTAATAGCTTCTTTACTCACACCAGGTCATGGTGCCGTTCATTGGGGGCAGGCAGGTAGGCGGTGATGGCATCTAAAAGAGGCTGAACGCCTTTGTTTTTCAAAGAGCTCCCACAGAGTACCGGAACGCCTTTACGGGCCAGAGTCACCCGCCGCACAGCCTCCTGTAGCTGGGGACACATTGGCACTACTTACTCTATGTTCACAAGTAACACTGCTACTTTATAGGCTCATATTATGGTACCATGCAACACAACGCTTACTTTGACGGAGGGAACGGCATCAAAATTGTCACCAAAATCAGTCAGCAGCAGTTCAGCAAACTCATCATCCAGATCAGCAACCTGTGTTTGAGAACAGAAATACAAACTGGAGAAGAAATCTGGAACATCTTGACATTTTTTTTCAATATTTAAAACGATCAACATTGCTAAAATGTTACGACGTGTACCTGCTCAATTAAAGCCGTCCTGGCCTCACTCGCCTCCTGCAGGAGCTCTGGCTCATCCGACTGGTCAAGAGGTTTGCTTTCAAACACTCGCCCGTCATCTCCCAGTTCAGTTCTTATCTTCCATATGAGCTTCTGGTTGGTTAACAAGTCAACCACACCTGAGAAGCTTTTGCCACTGCCGACCGGAATCTATGAAACAGGATAGGCTCTCCATGAGACAACTCAATGACGTGGTGACATACTCCCTTTGGGTTTTTAGGTATACCTTATATAGTTTTTCCAATTGTGTGATTACAAATTATACTGTAATAAAAATAGTTTAGACTTAGTGGGCTTCTTATTAATAAGCCTGCTTGTTGCAAAACCACTTGTAATAATCACACTTATTTACCTGCATTCTTATCAGTAGTTGCTGCTTGAATGCTACTTGTAATGTTATAGTTACCCTTCATTTATTCTTACTGTTACTGTTTTTCTTAAAGACCTACCTGCAGGAGGACTGGATTGGCTTTCAACTTCTGTCTGATGCTCTCAATGGAAAAACTTAAGCTGAGAGGAAGAATGGAAGGTTTCCAGTCAAATTTTGAAAAATAAGAAAATAAAAACTTGTATATGGTCAGATTCACTCACTTTGCTGCAGGCTTATCCATCTTATTCAGGAAACAAACACAGGGAACATGGTGCTTCTCTGCTTGTCTCCACACAGTTAGAGTCTGAGCCTGTGTTTTCAAGGTAACAGAGGTTGTTCAGAGTGCACGCAGTTATATATATATTATATAACACAACAAATGTTTAAATGAAAAGAGCAGTTTGAAAGCAGTGGGTTAACCTCAACACCAGCAGAAGCATCAAACACAGCAACGGCGCCATCAAGAACGCGAAGTGCCCGCTCTACCTCAAGTGTAAAGTCAACATGTCCTGTAATCACACGCAGATATCATCATATTTCAGTGGCTGCTCCTTCTCGTTTCCACTGGAATTTTGTTCTCACAAGGATGCCCATCTACCTGGGGTGTCTATAAGGTTTATTCTATAACTTTTCCAATCAAACGTGACTGCTGCCGACTGTATGGTAATGCCACGCTCCCTCTCTTGAGCCATAAAATCTGTGACTGTATCCCCATCGTCCACATCTGAAAGCAACCAAGTAACAGAAATAAATTAAAGAGACGGGAACAAACAGGAAATCCATGGGTAAGAAACGGTAACTATGACCACATCTTGTTTTCACCATCCTACACACCTCCTAGTGCTCTCGTATAGCCGGAGTAATAGAGCATCCTTTCTGTGGTAGTTGTCTTTCCTGCGTCAATGTGGGCCATGATGCCAATGTTTCGGATCCTGCAGATATAGTGCGAAGGTTAAGACAGAGTCTGGAACAAGGTTGAATCAGAGAAAGAGCAGAGACTGCAGAATGCATTTACTTACTTGGATATATCAGGATTAACCACAGCCCGCAATGATTTGACATCATCTATGACAGGGAACATTCAGTATGATGATCTGACTGAATCAGTGATGTTATGTATAGCTTTCTATATTGACTATGTTTTCCATTATCTTACTGATCTGACTGAAATAATAACAAATACACATTACAATTTACAACAGTCCAAAGTAACATATTAAAACTGTAGTTGTGTAGTTCAAACACACCCAAAAAAAAGCACATGTAAACCTATACCAACCCAGTAACTGATTACCAACACTGGAATCTACTAGTTTCCTGCTGCTTATCAATTTATCAACTAATAAAAGAGCTGAGTCAGCAATTGACAATCATCAACAGATCAAATTAAGAAAAAAATAAACCCACCTGGGAGAAAGCTGTAATGTCTTATCACATGACAGCTCACTCTACATCTGCAGCACTGGAGCCCAGCAGTTAATAAATACCTTCCCTGTGAATGACAACGACCCTGTGAGGAAGTCAACATCATACTAACACTATGTATCTCTGACAGCTCTTATTTTGGCGGATTATATCTTACCCCAATCATCTTGCTTAACGTCCGAAAGTCTCCAGCACGAATCTTTGATGTCTGCTTCGCTTTCAAGCTTTTCCCTCAAGAGTCAGTCAGAGGTTTCAGACGGACCATTGTGGAGCAACACCGCAGTCAAACGCAGACTGTCCGCCCACCTGCGATGGCTACAACATTAACAATATATACTGCTACGAAGAGCAGATATAGAACATATTTATTTATGTCCTACAAAACAAACACAACCGCTGTCAAATGTCACGCTTTCATAAGGTACAGCTCCAAAATAAGTCCCGAAGAACAAGAAGCGTGTGTGGCTGATATTTCCGGGCACGAAAAACAAAATTGTTCCAGTCAATATCAACAAATGTATTTTTTTTTATATATATATATACGTACATAACGTTATCCATATGCTATTTAGTTAAATGTATACGAAGAAAAACCATGTATTTTGTTGGCGTTTGAAGCCGTACGTATTAAACCAACGGACAACCCGCAACGTCAGGGTGACGTAGTTCCTCTAAGTGTCGGCTCCGGGGAGAACAACACCTAAAGGACCCCAGCCCCAAACAAAAACACCGAATACTCTGCGTCTTTACCGACTGTTACCACCCGCGACGTATTCTCTGTGACACCGAACCACGCACACACAGAATGGTAAGAAGACACTCCGCTTTTGTTGCGTTGTTTGACTTTTATCGGGTCGTTTGACAGGGTAGCGCACTGTGCTAGCGTTAGCTTAAGTTCACATGTGGCCGGGTGACGTGCGGCTCTGCTCTGCTGGTGTGTTTGTTGTTTGTTGTTTGTTGTTTGTGTCATATAGACAGTGTGTGGTTCATATTTAAAACCAGTCGACCTCCACTGACATGAGGCACAGGTGAAATTACAGGTATATGAGAACGAAAGTTAGATTTTTGTGAATGTTGGCTAACTTGTTTACCATCCATATGGTGTGTGTACGTTTGGACCAAGTTGTGTTTCTTAAAATGTCATGGCCTTTTAAATGTTGTGCTTGTTGGCATGTGTCCTTCCACCCTAATAAACAAGGAATGGAAAGATTTTTCTGCAATTATCAATATTTTTGATAATGGATTAAAAGATAATTGAAGTCCAAAGGGACATCTTCAGATTGCTTGTTTGTCCAACAACAATCCCAAAACGCAAATGTATTACATTTACAAGGATTTACAGATAAACACAGTTGTCCAAATGGCAATTTAGCTGTAATTCGACTGAAGAAACCAAACCAATTCTGTGCATTTATTATACTTTGTAATCAGTGACCTAAATTGCATCTTTTGCTTCTTTTTTTGTAGCCCCAGAACGAGCACATTGAGTTACACCGCAAGCGGCATGGCCAGCGCTTGGACCACCATGAAAGGAAAAGGAAGAAGGAGAGCCGTGAGGTTCATGAGCGGTCCCACAAAGCCAAGAAGTTGATCGGTCTGAAGGCCAAACTGTACCACAAACAGAGACATGCAGAGAAGATCCAGATGAAGAAGACGTGAGTATAGACAGAGAAAAAATGTGCTGATCTGTTTTAAAAAGCTTGAAAACTACACCCAACGAACAGTCAAACAATTCTGACTTCTATATTTGCAGGCTCAAAATGCATGAACAGAGGAAGACCAAGCAGAAGAACGATGATAAGACCCCAGAGGGAGCTGTGCCAGCCTACCTGTTGGACAGAGAGGGACAGTCTAGAGCCAAGGTCCTCTCCAACATGATCAAACAGAAGAGGAAAGAGAAGGCTGTAAGTACCTGAGCTGAAATATGTTCATCTGCACTAGTTGTCCAGTAACATGCCACAGTGATTTCCTGTCTTTGGGCAAAATATATTTCTTATTTGTTAACTTTATAGTAATTATATATATATATGTGTGTGTGTGTGTGTGTGTGTGTGGAAATAACTTGATTGGTTTCTAAACACGAATGTGTAATGTTTTCTGTAGGGCAAATGGGAGGTGCCCCTGCCAAAGGTGCGTGCCCAGGGAGAAACAGAGGTGCTTAAAGTCATCAAAACTGGAAAGAGGCAAAAGAAGGCCTGGAAGAGAATGGTCACCAAAGTTTGCTTTGTCGGTGACGGCTTCACCCGCAAACCGCCAAAATACGAGCGTTTCATCAGACCCATGGTAAGATCGCAGTATAGTGGAAAGTTTTTAAATGTCAAGGTACATTTTTACGCTTGAACTAATCTGCAACACCTTTTGTTTTTTACGTGCATTCAGGATTAATGTTAAAGTTGAAGTCTGTTTTAAATTGACTGACCTCCTCTTTATTCTGCTTTAGGGTTTGCGTTTTAAGAAAGCTCATGTGACACATCCAGAGCTGAAAGCAACATTCTGCCTCCCCATCCTCGGAGTGAAGAAGAACCCCTCCTCACCTCTCTACACCTCTCTGGGGGTCATCACAAAAGGAACAGTCGTAGAGGTCAATGTCAGCGAGCTGGGTTTGGTTACACAAGGAGGAAAAGTTATCTGGGGTGAGTGCCCTTAAATTACATGCTCCACAGTAATGTGGCAATCGCCTACTTATGGAAATAATTCTGAAACATCAGTGTATACAATAAATCTATCTTCAGTTCTAAAGGTTAAACTTTTTCTGTCAAAATGCAAATAGTTGGAAATAAGATCAAGATAAATGTGATAAAAGTCTAATGAGAACCATTTCAGGTGTGACACTCAAATATATATATATACACGTAAATATTGTATTTACTGTATGTCAGTGAGGTATGTGATAATGTAACCAAAATCTTTCTTTTCCTTCCCAGGTAAATATGCCCAGGTGACAAATAACCCAGAGAACGACGGCTGCATTAATGCAGTTCTGCTGGTTTAAGACTCTTGACCTTTTTTATACAGACTGTGCCTGGTTACCCTGAATTTACACGAAATGTGTTGACTACAACAAAGAACACGAAGATACAACATGCAGTGGGCTTCCAATCACAGGACCACCAGGAAGACCGCTGATGCTGCACTTGGCAACGTAACTGTTGTTGTAACAGATGGACGCTCGAAAGAAAAGAAAGTGGGTTGATTACTGTGTTAAATGTGACACAAATAAAGAAATAAGAAAATAATAGTTGAGCCATTATTTGCCCATGAAAACAGTAGCACAGAACTTTGTTGATATTCTTGATGGTTCAGAGATGTGTTTAATAAAGGATGCTCAGGAAACCAGGGCTGATTGGGAAGAACATGGGTCGAGTGATCCTAATGAAGTGAACCAGGATAAATGTATTCCATAAAATCAAGCATGTACAGTATGTAACAAGCAGCGCAACGCATTAAAACTGACCAATGAAATGGCAAAATAAAAAGGACAGAACCACCATAAGTAAAGCAAAAGGAAACCCTGTTTATGTTCTAGACAAACAACAATATATTGACCCTGCAATAAATATGACCGTATCTGTTCAGACTTTGCCACGTTGTATAATTTTGTGCTGTGTTGTATTAAGTTGAATGAAAACATCCAGTGTGCTTGTAATATAGATCCTAACAATCTCTTATGTTATAAGTTGAGTGACTTTTTAATATTGTACAGAGGCACAAAGAGGCCAGAGGGGCACAGTATCACTTTGTACAATATGAAGATATTTACACAGCGGTCACCTTATACATAAAAGCAGTAGACTGATCCCATGATAGTTATCTGAAGTAATACCTGGGCAGTCATTGAATATTTGAATGTTGTTCTTTAAATATGGAAGCAGACAAAGGGGGTGTAATTAAAACATGGACAAGTATAAAGAATATTCTTCAAGTGAGCTGACTCCCCTGCATACAGTGTGAGCTACCAGGTGTCCAGAACTAAAGGAAACTAGTTGAGCCTAACCTCTGCTGAGAAAGTCTGACATTAAAAAATGGCCCAGCTTATGATTTAGCCTGTTTAATAAAAGGTGGATGCCCAACAGGGGTGAGTGGAAACGCAGTGTAGCAGTGTTTTATCAGCATTACTGTAATAATCTTCTAAACTGTTTACTGTAATCTATTATTTTCATAGAAAGTCGCAGCCCACGAGGGAGTGAAACAGTGATTGTCTTTACTAACAAGGTTCTTCCCTTTCCTTCCCGTGTCATTGTGTGGCACTGTACTATGTTGTTTGAGGGTGGAAAGGGCAGGAAGTAGTGTGCAATACATTTATAGCTTCTAAAAACACACAAGATCAGGAGCAGCAGGACAAATTTCAGACTTAGGCCCAGGCTGAGCACACATCTGTGCATTCTGGACCAGATATGTGTTGGAAGCATACTGTCAAATTAATGATAAACCTATGACTGGGGAAAGTCTTATAGGGTGGCATCATTCATCTGGTTAACTACGATAATTTATCCAACTAACTATAATAAATGCACTACAACATGAGAGCTTAATAGGTACAGTAAATATGCAAACATAAAATCTAACTTAGTTTTCATAAACATGCTCTTTCACTGTCTGCAACATGTACAAGTATCTACCAAATGATGTCACAACTTAATGTCTCTTCTTTATTTTAGCCCTGGGCACAGAGCTGCACTTTGCACAGCAGTGTTTTGCAAGCGGTTTGAGTATTACATAACTTCTCCTCAGTCCCAAGTGTTCAGCTGCTACTTTAGACTTCATGTTCATCCGTTCAGTAAATAGATGAGAGTCAAATCTGAATTATTCGAGTTCAAAAGGAAAGAGAAATAATTGTGGGATTAATAAAGTTTGGTTCTTTGAATAAGACACCAACAGAAGGCACATGAACATGATTGCAACTTGTGTAAATGTGATGTAAAAACGTGAAGCAGCCAGTGCACATACACTGATAATGGACTTCACAGTGAAATAGGAGACATCTTGTGTCCACCAGGTAAGCCATTTGTATAGTCATAGATTCTGGTATTTTTAATGAGGTAGAAGGAGTAGATGTAATCTTAATGTGGAAATTATGCTTTTTTTGTAGTAAAAACATAGCAGAACATTTGTATAGGTCTTAATACATGTCTGGAGGGGATCTCTTAACATTTTTATAAATTCAAATTGTAGTGTAACACTTAGGAGGCTCTATTGGCAGAAATGGAAATTAATATTCACAGGAAACTTCACATCTAGATGTCACTAAGTCCTACACACCGGTCCTTTAAAGGTTTTACCTTAAACATAATTTCAGCCTGATGTGAAGCGTGCATCAGAAACATTGACACAAAGAAAATTTCAGATTTTATTTTTGATTTGTCTGCCTGGTGTTTTACAGCAGAGAAGTTTGCTAGTCTTTGCTTTCCATCCACACCAACAATGTTCCATCACAGTTCACTAAAACATCCTTCAACTACAGGTAACTGGGGTCAACTACATAGAAGAAGCTTCCTAACATTTTTTTTTTTTTAATGGTTTTAAAGAAATTTTGAGAAACCAACAGAACATTTCCTTCCACAACAAAGTTATGTATGACTTAACTTGACCTCTCTTTAAGGACATATTATAGTACAGGGTATTGTGTTTTGAGAGAAACCCTTTGGCTTTGACATTTTAAATCAAACTTATTTGATAATCAGCCACTCTGTTAAATACATTACCATTTGTTTTGTATTCTGAACAGTTTAACATTTTTAAAAATACAAAAATCAAGTTTGTTCAAAAGAAATTTGAATTTGTGAAAATTCTATCCTGAGTTCTTACAGTGTAAGGCCAAATTACATCTGGGAATATTTCACTATGGACACATCCAAATCAATTACAGTGTATACTACTCTTATATAACAGAATCTATTTGTGATGTATCATATCAATCAAATTAGATATTAAAAGTGTGTGGCTGCACTGTATAAAACACATCTCGCTAATGCTGATTCTTATATGATACATATAAACAGTACACTTAAAAGTTTTCTGCATTACGTGTGTCTGTATTTGAATGGTGAGACTTTGCTCTAAGCAGCTCTGCTGTGTCCAGTGGACATGTGTGTGAAATAACTCAGTAGATAAAAAAAAAAAAAAAATGAGTGGGAATTTAAAAGAATTAAGGCAGGAGTTTCCAGTAATCCACATATATGGTGTACACATTAAAAAAAAAAAAAATGCACAGCAGTGACATGCCCATAGTTTCACTGACAGAAGGACACCCTGTTAGTCATTAAGAAGCTCTCAGGACAGCAAAACCGTCTGAGACTCTGACTGCTGTGACATAAAGTGGAGATCAAACCCTCTAATCAGTCACACGGGATAGCATTTCCAGTCTTATTATTTTTTCATTCAACCGTCGCTGTGTTCTTTCATCAGCCGCCGTGTTCAGTGTAAGAGAGATGCAACATTGGAGAAGGCCTGCCGAAATCCTCCATGTGGCCTCAAGGTCAGACAGAGAATCCTCCGCAGAGACCTCTGCAGAGTTCAGTCAGCTTGACTTCCTCTCTTTAGTCATTTGGCTGAGAGCGTTTTTTTTTTTTTTTTTAAAAAGTGCACATAGTGATCCGACGTACTGTCCATCAGATGTTAGCATTATGTGTAGTAGTCCAACTTGCTCTCTATTGTTTTGCAGCCTTTGACAGAGAACACTCTGTCAGATTTGGGGAAATAGACTACATCTCTGGCCACCTGGTCCGCCACATCCTGGTCAGGCTGAACTCCTCTGGCCTTCATCTCGGCCATGGCACACTGCACGACGTGCCGGTACTCCAGGGGCAGAAACGGGACGAAGAAGTCCACCAGGTTCTTGTCTATCAAGCTTGTATGCCACAGGCCACCTACAGGAAGAGATTAACAGATAGTTCAAAAATCATCAAATCTAGTGTCTGAATGATAATCACTCCAGAGTATACTATAAGTTTATACTCACTTTTCTTGTTGTTGAAAACTGACAGAGAGAGCGATGTTTCCAGGTCTTTGAGCTCGATTTCTTCTCGATCTCGTCCTGCTCTCCAGAAATCTAAAGCCGTCTGTATGATGCTCTCCCCTCCAGCGTTGCTAAAAAGGAAGATCAGAAACAGGAAACATGTTAGATTTGCCTCTGATTATCTGTTGTTACCTCTATTTTAGAGTAAATTGTTGGTATTAGTTGCCATTATAGCAGTACATTAATGTAGTTCTATATCATTATTAAAGGAATTTCAGCAAACGTTGAAAGTGAAGGGTTAAATACATTTACCACGATCAATAGTAAAGATTCTGCTTTAATTACAATAAATATCACTGACGTGCACATACAGTTAGGTGTTTAAGTGAAAGAAGTAGCAGAAAATGCTCCAATTTTATACGTACATCTCTCCTTACTTACTGCATTATTGCATACAACTGTTCTGAACTGGGGCTTTTCCCTTTATAGTACATGCCATTAACCCTATAAACATACAAGATACACTTCTGTTCCCATGACCGACACCTTTCAGCTTTCTACCTGAGGAAGATGAAGATGGCTTTCCGATAAGAGACTCCATCCAGCTTGTCATAGTAGTCCAGGTACGGCTTTATGCTGTCAATCAAGCCAGGCTGCATCTTGTCCATCTCATCAAAGACGAACATGGAGCGTCCACAGTTGGAGACATTGCCTTTGATCCACTGCTGCAACTGAGTCTGAGGAAAAAAAACAATAGTACATTCATATATAAGAAAGGCAGAACAAAAGCCACTGTGTTTCAATTCAAAGTAATTGGATTTTATACATTTGTCATCATACCTTGTAAGTATCAAATTGGCTCGAATGTGGGAAGTGGAGCTCGGATGTGAAAATGTGAACAAAGCTGCTGTCCATCCCCTCCTTGTAAACGTTTTCAGCGATCAGCTGACTAACAAAGTTCTTCCCTGTGCCGGTCCATCCGTGCAGAGAGAGCACCAGGGGCTTCTTCGGGTTGTCGTTGCTCATGAATCCAGTCACAGCTTTCAGGATGATGCGGGACGCGATGTGCTGCCCGAACAGCTTGCTTTCCAGGTCAGCTTCGAGACCTAGAGAGTACACAGCAGGAAAACGAAAGGATCAGTGGCTGCAAACACCCGACTGAAACACCTTTTCCAACATTTCTGCCACGGAGTTGTTTAGCTGAGGTGGCAATTCACAAAAATCTTGCATCCTCTTGTGTCACGAATGTTCCATTTAGTTATTAGGTGACTGTTTAAACAATAGCACTCACTAAATATAACCAATTTGTATAGCAGAATTTACAGCAGGTAATATCTGACAATAAGACATAAAACTAGAAATGGTAACATTTAAATAATGAAAACAATAAAACAGAGGATTATAAAATGTAAATAGAAAAACAATGTTCATACAACATTCATATGAAAAGCCAGGCTGACGACACGGCTTTTAAGTTTATGTGTATGTTTAAAGACAAACACTTTTAGCTGCCCTCAGATCTGAGATCTATAAAGCCTTATCTCATCCTCAAACAACTAAAAGTCTTATGAGAGCACCCGAACAGCTGTCCCTAGTTCATACAAAAGCATGCAAGCCTATGTAACACTTCAAATGGGCATTTGTGGCATCCTAAAGATTCAGGTTTTATTTTACAAAGAATATTCATTTTAGAGATAAAATCAGTAGTTGGTAAAGGGATTCATTTTAAAAGATCTGCACATATTTTAATAAGCGACATTTTAAGCACAAATCCAGATTGTCTATTGTGCTGGTCGAGCAAAACAAGAATTAAAGAGACCACCCAAGGTTTTAACGAACTGTGAGGGTGTTTATGGTTGAAAAGCCAGTTCAGAATATAACGTTATTCCTCTCCTCGTCAGGTTCCGGTTGTAAAACTCTGGACTTTTCATTGTTATCCAGACCACACGGGTTAATATTTAAAATAAAATCCAGCTGTTTTCTCCCTTTAGTCGCGTTAGAAACCTCCTCCATTACACCGTGTGCGCCTGAAACAACCCATGTGCGCAGTTGAACCCGCTGCCCGCTGAAGTGCCGCACACACTCACTGGTTGCATTGAAGGCTATCCATTTTGAATCACAACTTTCGTGTAAATAATTGTAGATCGTTCGCCCAAGAGTCGCACCGAGTCCCACAACCACTGTTGTTGTGATCGGGTCAAACGCGTTAACCAGCACACTGGCGGTCGACAAAACGTGCAACAGCAAATACAAGTGTGCCGGTTTCATCGTCGAACCCGTTTAAATCCGGACATTAATCGTATATTACTGGTAAAAAAACAAAAAACACACACACAGCCATGTAAAACCGCGCTGAAACTGCTAGCCTGCTAACACTAGCTTCGTTACAACGGGGAACTTCCTGGCACGTCATGAAGACGCGACAAAGCGCAGGAATGTTTGGGTAACGTGTGAGCTGGGCCCTAACCTGTCCTGTTGAATGAAATCCACTCGGGTCGACAGCACTCGTGGAAGTAGTAGAGGATGTTCTGGTAGCTGGCCAAAAAGCCGGTCAGAGCCGCGGCCATCCCGACCGCTATGCTGGTGCTGATGGGTTCGATCGCCTCCGTCGTGCCCGAGCAGACGAGCATCCACAGCAGCAGGACGAGGCGCCCCCTCGGTCTCATGTCGGCACACAGGGGTCACCGCCTCATTAAAGTTACACCGGGAGAGCAAAAAAGTGAGAGATAGAAGGGTTTTGCCAAAGCGGATTGAGTCAGTACAGTGGAGAGTGGGTGGTGGGAGGAGGAGGAGGAGGAGGAAGAGGAGGAGGAGTTGTTGTCTGTCTGTCGTTGTCATGCGCACCCGGAGCTGATATGACGTCAGGGTCCAAAGGTGAGGTTCACCTGGGGGCTAGATCGAGTCCCACCATGGTGCCCACGTTTTTGATACTTTTTGGAAAGGTGGGATGAAACAAACTGAAACCAAAAGTTCAGGTTTCATCAACAGGTTCTTAAAGCAACAAAGTAATGCTTTATCCACAATTTCTCTCCCCGCAGAGCTGTTAACGTAACCAGAAAGAATAAATCACTATATTTGCAATGTTGGATTGACAGGAATGTGATTTTTCTTTCAGACGTACAAAATGACGAAGCTCATCTTCTCAGTTATGAGAAATTTCCCAAATTCTACAAGCTTTCCTGTGGAATCAGTCAGCTGATGAAATGCACTCTGCAGCTGCCGTATACCAATATGCTTTCTACCACATGAGTGCTTCACATTGAATACAGCTGAAAATTATTTTTTTTGGAAGAGTAGATAATGTGTGATAACGAGGCAATCAAGTTATTTATTCTGTAAGTCACCCACTCTCATACAATTATACCAGCAAGGCATACCACCTTGGATCAAAGGTAAAGATTTCCTATTAATAAATCACACAACAAACAATATATTTATTATATAGAGACTCATTACACCTCCTTTTAAAAATCCTACCTTGGACCATCTTCTGAACTGGGCATACAAGAGGAAACATCCATCTCATTAGGGTACAGATTAGCAAAATAAGAAATGTGGTGAGAAAAAATTAAAACTGTTGTTTGGGTGAATACATAAATAATTAAAAGTGTGCCATGACCAAGTAGAGGAGTAAAATAAATCAATTTTTAATGTATTTTATAAACTGATTGGCTGATTGGAATTGGCTTTTGATGAACACTATTCAACATACAGCATTTAATTATTTATTTTTGACTTACCTAATAGCCTTTTACTAAAATGTCTTAGTTGTGAGACTCCATAATCAATGCTTCACAGTTACAGACTAAGGTAAAGGTAAAAAGAGAATCAGGAACACCTGAAAGCCGCAGAGACCAACTAGCACACATGCAGTGGCGGACTCAGGCTGTCTGAAGGGCAGGGGCATAAAAATAAAAGGGCAACACAAGAGCAGAAAGTCGTGATGCATTTAAGGTTTTTGTCACTGAAATAGCACGCAGAGGACACTTGATCAAGTTTTCTTGGAAGAACGATATTTGAGTTGTAGTCATAATTTTCTTTTGACGATCTTATAAAAGAGTTGAATCCAAGGATAACACATCCTGTACTGCGCAGAAGTTGACTCAAGTCCTCACAATGTAGACACAACATACATATTATCATTTAAACATTACAGGTTACAAGTTGTACATTTAAAGGAAACATTATTCCAGTTGACCAATACTAGGATGAGAGATATATAATAATTTATTTGCAATATTTAGCCCACTTTCTACTTCTTATTTAGCTGAAAGTATTTCTCCTTGTTAAAAAAGTACATCTAATAATTATATCAGATTCTGAGATTATATGTAGAAGTCCAGCCTGCTTTCTATCGTCTTGCAGCCTCTGTTAGAGAACACTCTCTCTTCTTTGGGGAAATATTCAAAATCTTTGGCCAACTGGTCCGCCACATTCTGATCTGGCTTAAGTCCTCTGGCTTTCATCTCGGCCATGACACACTGGATGACATGGCGGTACTCTAGAGGCAGAAAGGGGACGAAGAAGTTCACAAGGTTCTTGGAGATCAAACGTGATTGCCACCAGCCACCTATAGGAAGAGATGGAGAGATACTGCCAGTATTAAAAAAAATCACCCAGGTTTATCAATCTTTTTTGGTATGAAGACCAAGAATAGAAGAAATAGGCTGTGTCCGAAATGATCCACTCATTCACTACTACTACTCACTACCTAGGGACTTGTATATAGTAGATTATGTAGTGGGGTAGTGAGCGTTTTTGGGCACAGCGATAGTCTACTCACCATCATCATTAAAAGCTGATGTAGAGAGTGACATTTCCAGATCTCTGAGTTTAATCTCTTCTCGTTCTCGTCCTTCTTTCCAGAAATTTAAAACTGTCTCTGAGATGGCGTTCCCTCCTGTGTTGCTAGGAAGATCAGAAACAGGAAACGTGTTCAAATTGGCCACTGATTATTGGTTGTTGCCACTATTTTTGGACAAACCAGTGAGGGAAGCAGAATAAGTTGTTGCTATTGCAGCAGTAAGGGAATTTCAGCAAACATAGAAGATAAACGTTTTTTGCATTGGAGGTAGATCCAAAATAGGCAACATATTAGAATTAGCTTCTGATTGTTATCACATTTATATTTACCAAATATAAAACAAAACATAAAAATCCTTTACATTTTTGTTGCTGGTATTTTATACTTAACCAGGGTTGTGTAGTATAAAATTTTTTTTTATAGAAAAATAAAAAAAAAAAAAAAAAAAAAAAAAAAAAAAAAAAAAAAAAAAAAAAAAAAAAAATAAAAAAAAAAAAAAAAAAAAAAAAAAAAAAAAAAAAAAAAAAAAAAAAAAAAAAAAAAAAAAAAAAAAAAATAAACATCCACGTGGCACCATTAAATGCAAAAGATACCAGCAAGTGAATAACCTAAGTGCTAGTGAATAAACTGGATCAAATAAAAGGATGGTTCTGGTCTCCACGTCATCAAGACTGTTTTCACTAATTGCGCTATTGTGTTAGAGTTAAATATGTTTATTCTTTCACCTGAGGAAGATGAAGATGGCTTTCTGATAAGAAACTCCATCTAACTTGTTGTATGAGTCCAGGTACGGCTTTATGCTGTCAATCAAGCCAGGATGGATCTTGTCCATCTCATCAAAGATGAACATGGAGCGTCCACAGTTGGTGACATTGCCTTGGATCCACTGCTGTAACTGAGTCTGAGGAGAAAAAGAAACATACTTAATTCATACAGTATGTCAAACAGATAATGTCACTGTATTTGAATTGTGTCTACTTTTTTTATCATACCTTGTAGGTCTCAATTTTACTTAATATGTGGAAAGTGGAAATCAGCTATGAAAATGTGAACAAACTTGCTTTCCATTCCTTGTTTGTAAATGTTTTCAGCGATCAGCTGACTAACAAAGTTCTTCCCTGTGCCGGTCAATCCGTGCAGAGAGAGCACCAGGGGCTTCTTCGGGTTGTCGTTGCTCATGAATCCATTCACAGACTTCAGGATGATGCGTGACGCGATGTGCTGTCCGAACAGCTTGCTTTCCAGGTCAGCTTTGAAACCTAGAGAGTACACAGCAGATAGTTAGTCAGGACCACTTTGTAAAATATATTTTATTCCAAAGAGAATATTACATTTTGGCGGTATGGCTCTGTTCTGGGACCTCCTTGTCCTTCCACGTGCTTACGTGGAAAACCTTAAGGCAGGGAGAGCACACCTCCCTGCCCTCTCATGTGCATACATGGAAAACTTTAAGACAAGGAGAGCGGCAGCAGTGACCCCCCAAGGGTACAGAACAGAGCAAGCATCAATAGCAATCAGAAAGGTGGGTTGCAAAGGCTTGTAGAGGAGCAGCAGAGATAGGCAGGCTAAAGAGCTTAAATAAGGGCCATGAATGATATTTGCCAATTGGATGCTTGAGGCAATGGGTGAGCTGTCGTGACTGTGTATGGTTTCAATAGGAAGCTTAGAGGAATGCTGATCCGTCGCTGATGTATGTTTATGACAGCTGTGATCATTGTATAGCTGTACTGGGCTGGCTACTTCTTGCTATTTTTAACAAGAACTGTACAGTTGACACCCAGGGGTTCAGAGACAGAAATCATACATTACAATGCACAAAAACATTAAATAGAAAAGATCTAATAACACATAAATGCAGTATTTTAAAAGCTGAAGGGTCAAAGGTTTATTATTCAACCTGTCTTACCCTCCACACCAAAATACTGGTTTTCAGAAGACTATGCCAAAATCATATTAAAGTCTATATGTTCATCCACATTTCATTGTCATATTTTATAATATGACAAGAGTCATAATATTGACAATGATGATCTTGGTCAATATTTTGTTTTTTAGTTGTTTTTCCCTTTATCTGTTAGTCTGACTGTTTGTATAGTTAGCCGTTTACTGGGGGTAGTATTTGTGTTTGTAACATGAAATAAAATTTTTGAAAAGGGTATATTGGTTTAAACTGAAGGTAACTATAACTAGTCAGATAACCATATTTTTTGCTTTAATCTCCTAGACCAGCAGTACTCAAATACAAGTTATCACAGGTCCACCTCTCCTTTCTTTAGATGGCTACTTTTGAGCATGTTGTTTCACTCTTTTATCCCGAGGTTCCTCCCTCAAGCTTGCTAAATGTGACGGAAGGCATCTGAAAAACTCACCAGTGACCTGAGACAGGTTACTTTGAAATTTTGTTAAGGGTCCAGATCTTGGTCTGGATTTGGACCAGAGTCTGCCTATTGAGTATGTGGGCTCTAGACTATACATAAAATATGTTTTTAAAAGAAGAATTACAGATGTTTGTCCCTCAACTAACTCTATAAACACAATGCAACTGTCTTCCCATTTACACACCACACATACTCACCTTCTGCGTTGAAGGAAATCCATTCCGAATCACAACTTTCACCTAGGTCAAACAATTCACACGCAAAATGTTACATAAGCGCAATTGGAATGGATTAAATGTGTGTACCAAGACACTGGCTGTTAAAATAATATGTAACAATAAATATATTTGTACTGCTTTCATCGTTGAAACCACTTAATTCCTAAAGTCAGCAGCTCTTTACCGGTAAAACAACAGTTAGACCTCACTGATTCAGAGTAATAGCTCCTTAATGGCGGTAACTTCTAGCAAGGCAAACTACTAAACCACATTTTTGTGAGCTGTTGTCTATGTGTTACTATAAATACAAAACTTGCCAAACAAGTTGAATTACCCAACTGATCACGTACCTATCACAAGTCTGTAAACCTGATGTTGAGATCATGTCTTATCCATCAAAATCTGTCTAGAAGAACAAAATACTTTGCTTAATTAGAGCATACTCCTAAATTAATATGAGTTTAAAATGAAATGGCCACACAGCATACAGGGAGCTATGAAATATTCCAGCATGTGAATACTGAGTGGGGGAGGGACAAGGAGTTAATAGGTGCCCAGTTAACACATTTTTCCCCCCCTGGGCCTCTTAGCAGGTCAAATCAGCCACATCTTTAAGTTCAGCATCCACACTCATATGCAGGAGATGTCACATAGGCTAAGTTTGGAGAAAGGAAATTGTAATTGAACATCACCTGCCAGTAGAGGGCAGTTGCACACTGCAAATGGAGGATTATATGGGCTCAATAAATGAGTTTGGTCATTCATCTCTTTTAAGAATTTGAATACTAATTGTTAATTATAGTAAATGCAGTTTAGATGTGCAATGCCCTGCAATAAAATGCAACATCAGTTTAACTAAAAAAAAAGCTTATCTTGTTGTATCCTGGTGCAAGAGACACAGTACAGTGCAATACAGCACTTCCGCCAAAGAGGATAAACAAAACAGTTGTAGGGATGCAGCTTAAATAGTAATACTAGCTAAAAACCACTGTATACTGCACCTCAGTAGTGGCAAATTATTAAAAAAAATATTGATAAAGGATGCATTAGGCGCTTAGTAGGTAAGGCAGGGCCTAAGTAAACCTGCTTAATTTAACTTTTACACTTATAGCACTCCTTTCACACAAAAGAACCCTG